CCCTAAGGGAAAGAGAGCTGATGTAAATAAAATACACTTCTTCTTGCACCTTGGCCAGCCCTTCAGCTCAAGGAGCTCTGTCAGGGTAGGCTGCTGAAGCCTGGGTGAGTCTTTCTTCTGCTAACGTTCCATTTGCTTTAGAAATAAAAAAAAATCTGTAGCTGATCTAATTATAAATATTGAAATATTTATTTAGGCATATTTTCCATTGTGGAAAACACAGGGAAGCTCTGAAACAAGGGGGGTAGTGGTGTCTGTTTTACCACTGTACAGTGGCTACTTACTACAACTGACATAACTAACCCTGTTTGCCTACCTGACATTTCCTGCTTTGCCCAGCTCCTCCTTGTGCAGGAGCCTGCCACGGTACCACCACCATTTCAATACACTGCACTCGGTGAGAGTGGGGCCAGAGGTTCAGAGCACAGGGATTCTCCTTATTTTTGGCTAGAGGAAGAAAAAGGGACCTGTATGGAGAGCTGCCCCTGGGGTAAGGCCAGGCTGCCCTCTGCTTGCCTCGGCACAGCTCACACACAGCACGGCTCCCCAGGGGCGGGGGCAGCATCTCTGCCGTGCGCTCAGGGAGCGATGCAGCAACACAGGTGGTTAACCAGGTATTCACTGAGGTCCAGAAGGGAAATGGCAAGGGTTTACCTGCTCTCAGCAGAGGAGAGGGGCAGCCGGTGCCCTCCAGCACAGAGGCTGGTGGAGAAGGGGCAGCACCCTGGCACCAGGAGCAAGTCTTAAAGTCACTTAAACAATAAGACATCACATGACAATTCAGTGCCTAACAATTCATTGTTTAACTATGGAATATTTGGCTTACTGGGAAAAGGAAGGTGTTAGGCTAATTTAATTCTTTTTCATACCTTTCCCCCCCCCCAGGTTTTCCATTTCCCACTGAACCGGGGCTGCTGCAGGCAGATGCTCAAACCAGAGGCTGAGGACAGCAAGCCTTTGCTTTCATGGCAGGCATTTCTCAAATGCAGTTCTTTCTCTCCACCACATTAGCCATGGGCTCACCTTTCCACAAGGACCAGCAAAGGCAGGGTGGTGCCCTGAGCCCAGGCTGCTCCACGTGACACTTGGCAGCCACAGCCTCACTGTTCCAGCATTTTAGAAAAAGTTATATCTAGAAATCTTTGCCAGTCAAGACTTAGCAAGCATCGTGCCTCCTGTGCAAGCAATCCATTTTATCTACATCTAATATAGTCCAAATTTTATAAAATAATTGACAAAGAATCAGTTATGGGGAAAAAAAAACAAACAACAAAACCCATACCAGAAAGGTCTGATCAGCACATGGCATAGTGAAAAGTTACTGGCAGAAAATGATTCTGATAGAAGGAAATGGAAAAATGACTTAAAAACCAAGCATCCCTTAGTTCCCCTGGAAAAATTTTGGGGAAAGTCCCAAATCTCATCTATTTATGAAAACATTAGGAAAATTACTGCAAAATACATTGTCAACAGCACATCAATGAATAAATACAGAAGCAATTACAAACTCAGTAGACTGGGGCTTTGGGGGGGCCTGCAAGGGCACAGAAAGTGTTCTGAATGCTCAGTGGAAACACCAGCACTGGAAGGACCACTACATTTGAGCAAACTAAAGTCAGGCTATCCAGAGCCCACAGTGGCTCCTGGGGCTGAGCAAAGGAAGCCAGCCCTGAGGACACACTCCCCATTGGACACCCCTCAACAAGACCTGTCACCTCCCAGTCCTGGAAAACATCAGATTGGCCCCTTTTGATATAGAAACTATTCTTGAAAAACTTTCCTTTTTCTACAGCTCTTACACAACTTTGACAAGAAGTGGGAGGAAAGCTGATGTGCTGCTAAACAGGCCAGATTGCTCATTGGCCTTCTTGCCCTTCCTGCTAATTTTATTACAATACTTTAGCTGGAACAGACCAAGTCTTGAATTGCAACAAAATTAAGCAAAACCATTTCATTTCTAAGAAACCTGGCAGTAATAACCAGTAAACGTGCGTGAGATCCAGAGAACTGATGAAACAAAATTCTTACCAAGTTTTAGCAACTAGTTTCCTTATAGATTGTTAAGCAACCACAACCTACCTTCCAACTACACTAAATAACAGACACCATGTGTTCCAAGACATTCTTAAATCTTGTAAGTTAGATGTTTATATTCAGAAACAACCAGGAAACGTAGAAAAATCCCCGATGCAAATCTTATTTAGAAAAAACTGAACTGTGTCTGATCAGCATCATTAAGACAAATCTCTAAATCAAAGCCTATATTATTAGCTAAGCATCCAGTATGTCTTACCAGGTTGGGATAAAACGAATTTTATGGGAATTTGATACAATAGACAGTCTCTTTTGCTATTAATATTTTCATATTTCAAAAAGATAATGCTTTCTCCCCCACCCTCTCTAGGAGCCTGAAACTCGATGGAAACATAAGGATCTACGTCAAAATCTCGCCATTTCAGAGGAATTAAGGACACCAGCCACCAGGCCTGTTGCCAAACACAACTGCAATTGCTCATCAGTGGGAAGCCATATAAACTTTTCCATTAAAGTTTCATATGAACTTTTACATTCATAGTTATCTCTGTTATCTGCAAGTAATTACCAAAACAAAAAACAAACTACCCTAATCAACCCTGCCACCAATAGAAAGCATTACAGCTTCAGAGAAAAAAAATAAACACATGCTTGTAATAAAGTGGGAAAGAGTACATTGGAACACATGGATATTCAGGGACTAGGGATTAAAATGTGGCATGTGGCTTTTTTCCTGCTGTTGTACTGGGCAGTGCTGGGTACCCCTGAAGTCTGACATAAAACATCTTTTTGGCATTTCTTGCACTGAAGAATTGTCCCAGCAAACATAACTCACCCACCTCAAGAGGGAAACAGTGCTTGCTTTTCTACCAGCTGTCTTGTCCTGGAGACCAGGCAGCAGTTTGGGGATGCTGTCCAGGACCACACACAGATGGAAGTGGCCCAATGCCCAGCCCTGTGCGAGGGCTGCAAGGTCTGTACATTGGCTGGGTGGGCAGCCAAAGCCAAGCAGTGTAAAGCAGGAACAAAATCCTGCAAACACTTGGTTTAAAGCAATATGTAATGAAATTTGGGGTTCAGATCTTACAGACATTACTTGCTGAAAGCTACAGGTGTCTATTTTAATACTTAGTAGCTTCAGTGGAGAAAATATTCACATTCTCTGAAACTTTTAGCTACCTTCCCTCCAGCCACAGCAGCTGGATCTCTGCCAGACAGGTACGGGCAGACGCAGGGCACTGGCACCAGCTCTGGCCCTGAAGTTCAGCTTCAGTTATCCACATGCAAAAGCTGCCTCTCCTGGGAGCATTTCCTAATTTCCCAGTTTTCACTGGCACCTCAGAAGGCCAATAAACACTATCCAGCCTTTTCATCCCAAAATAGAAATATTTCTCCGCTGTCTCTCCGGCACAAGGAAAAGGCACACCTGCCATCAGTTCCCTGGGTTGCCAAGAGTGCACAAACCCACTTTTTAAGAATCATTTCTAGAGAAAGCCAGAGTTAGTTTTCTACACCATTCACCTTTGATCTGCAAGAGAACATTTCAAACAGGAAGGCAGGCTGAGGGCCCCCCCAGGTCACAGCCCCAGCTTAGCAACATTCCCAATAGTTCCCTTGGGACAGCAGGTAAGGACAGTCCTGCTCTGTGAACACGACACAGACCTGGGGCTCCCTTTAACTTTCATTGCCAAGATGGAAACTGTCCATACCCAGAAATAATAACATGTTTTAAAAAGTACTATTCACAAGTGTTAAAACTCTTAAAAAAAAATTACTCACTTTTTCACGTGCTTGGGTGTTCCTTTCCCTGCTGTCTCCCCTATTTTTTTGGTGTAGACAATAACAGCAATTCAGGTCTACAGTGTTTTTTATTTTTATTGTATCTATTTTGGAGCCTATGCCTCTCTAATGACTTCCTTAACTTAATATTTTCTGAAAAATTATGATGTTTATCCTTTCTGAAATTAGTTGCTATAATAAATTAATATAGTAGTTCTGAACTTGTTTACTTCTCTTTATTTTATTAAAGAGACACCTAATAGCATTTTAGCAGCTATAGATGCCTAAGGGAAAAAGAAAAAAAAAAATCAATTAAAGTGTGTCATATTATCCTAAAACATTTGAAACAAGAAGTTTTCAGTCTTAAAAAACACCCAGCATTTTTGAAAGAAAAAAAAAAGGCAAAAAAAAAAAACTGAATCAGGAAAAAGCTGGAGCCTTCTCATGGCTGATTAGAGGGATAAAATAAAGATCAGCTATGCAGCAAGGAAGGTTTGACATTTTGTCAGCACTATGACCCTGGGCAATTTGGAAATAGAGACCCAAAAAAAACAAAGAAAAAGAGGCATCTGTTGAGATGCCTCCAGGCTGGATGGTTACCAGCAATGCTTTGTGAGTTTGTAATCAAAACTTAAAAGTGCCCAAGATCTCTTAAGAATTCCAAATGCAAGCATCTAACATCACTTTGGGATCTGACCCTTCAACCCACAAACCTAGGGAAAATTACACACCAAATATAAGTCCTAGCACACCTGGACAGGTAAAAAAGTCAGAAGCTTAGAGCTTTACATCAGGTATTTACCACAGCTGGTGCTTTTAAACAGGGTAAATAACACATCATATGCAAATAAAAAAAATTGATCAAGCAGGATTAACTTTCCTGCAGTGAAAATCCAGGCTAAACTGGTAACTCCTGTTCCTGCATTCAGCCTGAAAAAGTCACATATATTTGAAATATCTGACAATAACAAACACATCTCTATATTATCAATTCTATGTTCAGCACAAATCCAAAATGCAGCCCCATTCTGGCCATTGTGAAAACAGACTATCTGAGCCAAATCCAGAACACCCAGTGACCTCCTTAACAGCCATGTACCCAATTAACATAATTTGAATCTACTAATTTACAACCATAAGTTATCCAGACTCAGATAAAAATGAAGGGCCATTGAAAAAACTGGACATATGGGTCCAGATTTGTGAAATTAATTTTATTTTTGAAACATGATATCCAATTACAAATAAATAATTCATACAATATAACTCAATTAGGATATACAACGTTCAGGCAGTTCATAGTAACAACCAAGATCACATTGAAAATGAGTTTACATTAAATAACCCATTACAATAATATACAACTGGTCATTTAATTAACATTTCAGCCTGGTCCAAGGTGTACACAAGTTGAAGATTGTTCCTCCTGCCAGTAAAGAAACAGATGTACACAATTTTATACTGAGTCCAAAGTAGTTAATACATCACATTAATAGAAATTAAAAATGCTGCATTGCACTGCCTAAATGTAATTTTAGTACAGAATAAAAAGTCTGAATTTTAGCAGAACAAAGGTTATTGCAAAGGAGTTTTATGTCCTACAGCAATTTCTGCACAAACTTATGAGTTTTACAAGGTGTTCTTAATGTATGGTTTTGATTCCATACTCTTCTCTGCATCCTGTCTATAAACCAGGGGATGTAGGTATGCATTATGTCCTTAGCTCCAGTTGCATGTTGCTTTTTGCTTTCATTTCAGCACAATCTTTTACTGCTCAGCCACAGCTCCCATGGAGGTGTGCCCCTGCCTCTGTGTGACCTGCAGCAGCAGCGAACTTGCACTGTCTTCTCTGACACATAACTTTTTAATTTCCTACCTACCCCAGAAACACTATCCTCTGCAAAGAACACTTATGAGATCTAAAGTGAATTTATCCTAAAGTCCTGAAATTTTTTTAAGTAATTGTGGAAATTTAAAGGAGATTCACAGGATCCTTGGAATTTCTTAGTCAATCATTTTAATAACGATATTACGTAAATTTTCATAACAGAGTAAGTAGTAACAATTCCAATGATTCAAAGTCCTGGGAAGCTTGTATTTACAAAAGTTTTGTTAAAAATCCCCCTCTTTTGGGGGGCCCTTCAGGTGAGGTATATGCCCCTTGTTCTTACTTTGAACTCAGATTGTATAAAAGTTACAGCTCTTTCCATTACGAAATTCCCCACGTGACCATTACTCCCAACCATGCACTACTCTAAGTTACTGTACAGCTGTTGGCAGCCCTGGGGACACGTGCAGCACATTCCAGCAGGTACTTTTGTTCCTGTTACACTGGGCATGGGAAGACACACCAGGAAAAAAAAAATAGGGAGAGAGCCTAGGTAAATTCCCAGCTGGCAAGCACTGCATCTCTGCAGGGTTTCAACAAATTCCTCTACAGTTGTCCTTCTGCTCAGCAATGTGAGAGCACGTGGTGGCAGCCAGAAGTACCTGGCAGGCTTGGCAGCCTACAGAAACCAGGGCCACCAGAGCAAGGAAGCCCCACGCCTGAACTGCAACCTGATTTACCAGCCCTTCCCAGCCCCAGTCACTTCCCAGGAAGTGAGGGCACCCACGGGACAGGCAGCCTCAATGGGACATGGAAGTATTCATTCTAGCAGTATTGGAATCTGTCTTGTGTTATAAACCAAAAGCAAAAACATACTCATCACAAGTATTTTTAAAAGTCTTTCTATCTCCAACATTGAGACTAGTCTTAATGAACTGCTTTAGTTTCACATTCTGTTGAAGAAATAAATGTCCACGATGAATCTGATGTTTAATAAAGGAGGAACTATATATATCACATCCATTTTAAACATAAACAGACCTGAACTATAAAATCAAATGCATAGTTAGACTGCAACCCCATCTTGTGACTGGATTAGAAGAAAAATTAAAACTACTATTTCCAAACAATTTAAAAAGTTTCATTTATGCAATTTTTCCAAAATGGATTTAAACCCTTAGCAGAACAAAATACTAACTTCAGATTTCTTTAACCAAAGCAGATTTGTTTTCTCACATCTGCTGCACAATGCACCAAGTGATATACATAATACTTCAGCAATTTATTAATTTTCACTAGAAAAAAAATCACAAAAAACATTTGAACAATGTACAGTTTGTGCTGAGCGTGAACTATTTAAGAATTTAAGATGGAGAACAGATACATATTTAATATTAGCAATGTGTAATAAATGGTGTGACACTTCCCTACAGCCTTGGCAATTTTCCCACAGTCGGATTCTTCAGTCATTTCTCAACATTTCATTTATGACCAAGATATCTGAAGGCAGTAATCTCATAAATACAGTTCCAATTTCTTTTTGATGCTTATCTATCCATTTGATTACTTACGCCAAGATTCACCAAATGTTAACACTTTTTCATGGACAGCAGCAGGGGAAATCCATGAATAGCAGAAACTACCTTATCATTTCATCAAAACTGAAGTACAGGGAACCTGCTTGATAACTTTCAACTCCTAGGAAACTGCTTTCTACAATCATTGGAAAGTGTTAATTTAAAAAATATCTCAGAGGGTTTTTTTAGATGAGAATTTGCACATCCAATAGCTCCCAAAACTCCATGTCACAAACACTAACAGCAGCAACTCCTTCCCCCAAACAAAGCTTCTGCCCTTCAGCATTGCTATGTGCTACTATAGCAGGGGATTAAGTGAGCATCAGGACCCTGATTTTTAGTACTACAAGTAAAGGATACGCATGAAAGTAATCTCCAAATTAAAGCCATTTTAATATTTGCTCCATCACAAGGTTGACTGATGTATGCCTTTTCACATTCTCATGTAACCGTGAATATGCTTTCCAGAAATATTTTGAAAATAAAATTCACACCTGAAATAAATCTTAACACTCTCATTGAAGAAAAGTTCCCACATATTTCTTCACACAATATCCATATATCTCTAGTGAAACAAAAATTGAGGCTCCTTCCCAAAATAAGAATTTGGTGTAACAAACCAAGCAACATAACTCTGGCTGACGAATGCTTCAAATACCTGTTTTTAAAGCAAAAAGTGCTAAACAAAAGAATACAGCATCAAAGGGAGATTTTTAATGGCACAAAGGGCAGCTAGGCACTGTGTGAGCTGAGAACATAACTGTCATTATGACTTTAAAAATCCCCCCCCGGAAGGTTTGGGTTGCAGCTAGGGCAGAGCAGGGGTCTTGCCAGACTTTCACAAACAAATAAAGAGCAAACCCAGTGTAATGTTCAAACCTAAAAGTTGTTAGAGTCCCTCTGCTAAAAGGACACTGTCCAAACTGTAAAGTTAAGTGAAAATAACGCTGAGAGTTCATACTAGCACTACACAACTCAGCTCTGGATGAAATGGTCATGAGCTGTTTAAGAAAGGAGTTTCTTAATGTATCTGAGAGATTATTCTTAGGTTTAACATCTGCTGTGTTAATAGCAATTTCTGTATTAACAAGCTTTAACTAACACCTGCCTTGATGCAGAGTTGTGCCATGACCATCTTTCCATCTTCAGATAAAAATAAAAGTAACCATTAGGCACATATTGAAGGTGTATTACACAAGCTGGAATGTCAAACATGTTCTCCCTCAGATTTACACAGAAAAATAGCACAGCAGCAAATAACCTGGTTCTCTGTTCAACAATTATCTTGTTACAAGCATTTTCAATGTACATAATGTCACAACATCAATACCTTATCTTTAAATAATTAGGTAAAAAAAGGCCCCCAGTATAACCATTTCTTATATAGCCAAGTTCTCTCTATATACATCCAAATTTTAAAGATACAAATAAAACATTATACAGGATTTATAAATGTTTAAAAATTTGAGGCTTCAGAATCATGGTTTCCCAAAAAGACCTGGGAAAATCCACAGTCTGACAAGGTAGCAGAGAAAACTGGAAAAAAAGGAGACAGACACAAGTTTGCTGCCGTAACAATTTACTAAACTTGCCAGTCATCATAGTGATGTCATCAGAAATAACAGTTTAAGCTGGAAATGAGGAATGGTGGTTTCATGTGTTGATCTCAAGTGCTGAGTTGAGACAGGCAATTCAAGTATTTCCTATTTGATCCAAGCTCATCGTAGCAAAGTGGTGCAGAGGAGAATTATTTTACATTTTTTCCATACATTCGATCAATGTCCATTTGATAATACGCTGTGAGCTCTTTGCGTTTGAGCTTGAACGCATCTGTCACCAGACCAGTCTCTGGGGTCCAAGGATCAGGGCTCAAACGAATCTTCACTGGTATTTCAAACTTCTCCAGATTAGCTGTAAGGAGAAATATTTTGAATACAAAACATAACTGTAACCATTTCGCTAAAATGAAGAGCAAAAGGAGAAATCATTCTCACAGACAAAAGCACGAGACATAAATGAAGTGCTCCTCTAAACCCCCATGGTTAGCTTTGATAACCTGTGGGGTCACAAGCAGGGACAGGATCCACCAGTAACTGTTCTCCAGTTTCCACAGAAATACTGGAATAAAGCCCAGCTGTTCAGATAGCTGTGCTCCCTAACTTCAGAAAAGCATCAGTGCATGGAAGTGACATCCTCAAAACATACACTACTGTACCAGGGTTATGGTACTCATCATCTGGAGACAAAAATCTTAAAATCCATACTACTTAAGCCTGAAAAAATAGGGGAGGTAGTTGTTTTTTCCCCAATAGTCCTAAATTGATGAAGGAAATTAAGTTCATATGGCAGCTGGTCCCTGTTCTGAAACAGAACAGTGCTCTGCATGTTACACACTTAGCAAAAAACACTATCATTTGCAAGAGCTTCTGCTATGGTTTCAGATATAAGAGAAGAAAAACAACTTAGAAAAGTAACCAACAGATGAGCAATAATCTCAACAAAACATTTATTTTCAAGTTAAATTTCAAAAATATACACAAATGCATAGTTATCCTGTGCAATCTGCCATTTTCAGATTGCAGAAGAGGTGCAGAAGGACATTGATGGTTCTCTGCAATGACTGTTTTGTGCTGTTTTGCAGTTGCTCAGTATCACAAAGAGAATGTGTATGAAAAATTTAACATTCCCAATGACCATTTAAAAAAACATTCTGTGCTCTTAAGTGATAGCTTTACGAAAAACCTCAGTGATTAGGAATGGCCAAAAGCAAAAATAAGGCAGAAATTATTCCGAAGAACAAACTATCACTGTGCCACTGTTTCATTCTGCACCAGAACAGCCTAACAGACTATGACCAATTAGCATGAAAAAGATACAGCTGAGGGGGAAGTATAATCGACACCAAAAGTATCACAACCACCATTGTGACTGTCCACTGCCTCTCCCATACCAGAGCTCAGCAGAACCAGCCTCAGTTGGCAGATGGCAGGGTTGGAACAAACCAGGCATTTCTTCACACACATGGCTGAACTGTGCAACTCTGCTACAGGATACTGTGGATACTGATCCAGAACATTTGAGTAATTTTCAAGTGTGACAAAAGAGTTAATGGAAGGAAAAATCTACTGAAAGTTACTATCTGCAGAGATGCTGCTTTAGTTTTGGAAATCCCTCAGATGCAAGTGACTGGAAACCAGGAGAGCCCCTGTCTCCATGGGTTTATTTCAACTCTGTATCAGTATGTAGCATGTGAGACTGTGTGACACACAACCATGGATCTATAGGTAACACACATTATTTTTGGACCACCAGCTAAGGCCAAAAAGATACCTCAGGACATCTTAAAGAACACCAGACACACATACACCCATATATACAGGGAACTGAACTTGTTAAGTTTGTCCTGGTTTATATTCTTTCCTCAGCTATTGGCCACAGTAAGAGAAGTTCCATGAACCAAAATGATGCAACTCATGTTTTGTTGTTGGTGTCTTTTGGTATAAAAGCTTCCTTTCATATAGGTTCTATGAAATATACACACTCTGGGAAATCTTTTTAGGGCCTATACTTACCTGTTTCACAGACACTGCAGTCCACAAGGTTGATAATATCTACCCAGCCACTCACCTGCCATGGCAGCCTCAGCTAGCACCTTCAGTACCTCTTTTTCCATCTCAGGACTGTTACAGATCTCTTCCCAGGTTCCTTTAAATCCTTTTTTTCGAGCTAGTTCTGCGAGCTCCTTTTGATTTGGCACAACAAATCCAATGACATAAGAATGGAAACTGAGGAGTACAATATACTTTAGTATGAATTTAGTAAAGTAAACAAGTCTTCAAAAATAACATTTCAAGTTGGGTGGGTTTGCACTTTCATACAGAGATATTGCTCTCAACAGATGTTTTTTGTTCACCTGATAATATTTCTGAAATAGTACACAGGTTACCTTTACCTGCTTCAAAATAAGTAGAAAGAGAAGCTACTTACCTTACAGTAACTGGATTGCTTCAAGGTGTGCTGTCCATATGCATATTCCACTGTGTCTCATGCTCAAAGCTTTGGGAAGCAGTTCCCATACGGTGTCAATGCTCCCTGCCTCTCCTCATGTTTTGCATCCCGGTATGAAGACTGGTGTGCGGCTTCCCTACCTCAGTTTCCTCTCAACTGCAGAATCCAGTTACTGTAGAGGAGTAGAGGACTGCAGTGAAGAGGGGTTGGAGAGCAGGTTGTGGAATGAGCATATGCACAACACATCTCAAAGAATGCCTGCTTCTGTAAGGGAAGTGACTTCTCTTTCTCTTTTAAGTGATTGTCCATACGCTCACTCGACTGTTGGCAATCTTTGTCTGCTCCTGATATGCCCAGAACATATGAAGCTGTGATCTCAAAGTCTTTGGAAAACACTGAAGCACAGTTCACCTTGAAACAGGTATTCAAGATTTTTCAGATGGTGTACAGTTTAGGGAAAATGTGAACAGAGCCTCATATAGGAGCTCTACTCATTCTAACAAAGCCCTTCATAGAATCAGAGAGTTGAAAGCAAACTCAGAAGATCACCTAATTAACTGACCTGCCCTGAAACAGTCAGATATATGTAACAGATGCTTGTCTAAATCTTTCTTAAACATGGGGTGAGTGCTACCATCACTGCTTCATTGCAAGCTCTTCCTGATGGCTATTCCTGACTCCTCCTCTCTGCAGCTTACCTCAGAATGGTCAGATGTTCCTCTCTTTTCCACAGAAGCCATTTATTTATTTACAGACTGTTACTTTTTTTCCTTCTCACCTTTCTAGTCTTCCTTCCTTTTTTATGTTTATTTAGGAATTTAAGCAGTGCCCTTTCCTCCTAAATCACGTATCACAGACCTCTGCCCAGACATACCTATTTTTCTCCTGGACTCTTTTCAAGAAGTCCACCTTTTCAGAAGCACTACATATGAAAAATCAGACTCTTTGATGCTTGGTAGAGTAAAAAGATCATTGTGCATCTTGTAGGCAATACATTTGTTAGGTCATACCTTCTTATAACTGCATGGCACTTGTTGACTCATGTCAGCTCCAACAGGCTACCAGGTGGTGGCTCTGATCCTGGCCTTCTGCAGTTGAGGTGTAAGTATAATTTACAATTCCCCTCTTTAACCTGACTGTTTTCAAGCAAATCTCCATCTAGCCAAGCTTGCTCTGAATTCTAATCCTATCCTCCACTGTGGCTTTAGTTCTATCTCACCTTAGCTACCCACAGATTTATTAAATCTTTTCAACTCTCTCTTTCATCAGACAGATCATTAACGTAACATACAGAAACTTAACCCTGGTATGGAGATTACTGTAGCTTATCCTTTAAGGTCTCCAAGATAATTTTAAAATACTAACTCTAAATATCCTTTTGGTTCCTGTACATTACAATTTTCTCCTTTGTTACTGACATGAATAATAATGGGCCTCTGACAGCAGTTGTGAAGACTGCAGCAGAGTCCATTACAAACACAGGCTTCCCTGTCAGCATCATCACAAGCTCTGCCTACTGGCTGCCTTGAAACCATTCTCATTTTGCTCTTACTAAGAACGTACTTAAAGAATGATTTCAGACTAGTCTCAATATCATTACTGCTTGCATCTCACTTTCTGCTTTTGCCTTGGTCTGATTTTCTTCCCCATGCACACTCATGCTCTGCTCTGTACTTGAACCCTTGTAACTTCATCTAGGCTCTCCTCTCTAATGTGTATGTATTGCATATGAAGGCATCCAGAACAAAGGACTCTGCCTCTTTCATCCCTGGTTCCTGTAGTCTTTTGACATACTTAAGGTCAAGTCCAGCAGTATCACCGGTGTCTCCACGAATAAACAGTATACAGAAACAATCAGTTGACTGCGTAAACATTGAACTTTCTGATTCACCTAAAATTCAGCCTCTTGAGTAGAAGTATACTTGTTCTGGACAAGCAGGTTCATCCAACTGTGCTTTTTCCTGGAAAGAACACCACAGCTCCTGGAACGTGCAGCTTTTCATTCTGTTTCACGATGTTAAATCTTCACTTGTTACAGTTCAAATGCTAAAGCACTGTTTTGTCTCGAGAAGTATCCTGAAGAGTACATCTTCTCTCTAGAGCAGTTACTTCCCTCTCCACCACCGTTCCTTCTGCAGATCTTTTGCATTTGGTAGCTTTGCCAGTCTTGGAAGTCATCACAACAGCATGAAGGAAGAAATCTTCAGACTTTGGTCCCCAGGACCTCCTTAGCCATCCCTCCCATGCTAAAAGAATTTGCCAAAATGTCTGTCCTACTCTAGACATCCTCACTCCCTTGCTGTGCTTGAAATCCTACCCATGTACAGCTCTCAGACCTACGGTCAGACACATTTAGTGGCACTACACATCTGGTCCTTATCTCCTTGAGACTTCTGCTGAGAACTCCCTCAGGTGGTTTTTTACCATGTTTGCTCATTTCTCAGGTAACTAAACTACTCATTTTCCTGAGGTGATGCTCAAGACCCACTTAAGGCATCCTGGATGCATGAAGTATTGATAAAGCAGTAGGAGTCTCCCCTGAAAGAACTCTAATCATGATTCCTTTCAGCAAACATTTTATTCCTTATCATACTGAATATTTATATGTGAAGTCAATACAGCTTCTGAAGCACCAATATCATGCAAACAATTTTGATTCCCTATTGCCACGTTCAGAGGAGCTTTGCACCCCAAGATCTAAAGTCAAATCACAGATATAACTCATTTATAAAAGTCTGCCCTCCTTGTCCTTTTGCACGGGGGAGGCAGAACAGCTACAAATGAAAGACTCCTCCTGCACAGGAGATCACTCAGGCAAAGTATAAGGAGAGACAGGATCTAAGAGATCATGGGCACTGTTACAAAACTCTCTGAGCTGACTGCTGAGGTGAGCATATACCCACAATGAAATGTGCATATGGACAATCAATCAGGGAATCTGTATGATGTGGCTACTTATGCCACATTACACACAATAGCCTGGAGAAGAAATACAGCAGCAGCAAAACCAATCTAGAATGTCTTGTCTTGTTTGTCCTTGATCTGGACTCTTGTTTGTAAATTACCTTTAAAAATTGCTCATAGGTTTTCCTGTTTTTAAATAATGGTCAAGACAGTCTATCAGAGTCAAGTGTCTGTCTGACAAGTGCATTTTAGCTTCCAAAGTTATTTTGACCTGGCAAAATTAATACAAAATTTGATAGTACGAGGCCAATAGTGAACTTCAATCCTAGAAGAATAGAAATCACCACCTTTAGGAAGCTCCTTCTCCATAGACTACAGAGGGTGCTTGGAAAAGGCACATAACTTCAGGCAGTCAAAGCAATCAAACATGAGACTCACTCAACAGGTCCAAACCACAAATAAAGATTAATATAATGGAAATTTTCTCAGCAATGGCTTGCCCAATGCATGTTAGCCTACTGATCCCAAACTGTCAGGACTGAAGTTACAGGATGACTACCATCAGTCAACACAAACCACCCAAGAACTACAGAGAACCAGGAGAACAACCCAAAAGTTAATTTTTTATTTATTACCACTGAGCAATTCTCTGGTATGCTTCTCCTGGCTTCTATCGAAAGTGGGGGGTTTTTTGCCATACTGGAAATCAGAATATTTCTGATAATTCAAAAGCTCCAAAATGATTTTTCAAACATCAAAACGTCAAAGAAAACAAAGACAACCTGAAGCATATTTATATGTGTAAGCCTCTATTATGCATAGGCAAGAAATTGTAGAAATACAAACTTAAGACATGCTTGAGCCCTTGTATGCCTCATTTATTAGTGCACATAGAAAGCAAAGAGAAAGGTCATTTGATCATCATTTATTAACTGTGTGTTTGCATAGTATTTAGAGTGTTTTAAGCTTCAAGGCTTCTGCTGGTGTATGCAGGGGTTAAAGAAAAGTAATTTTAACTTGCAAGCCAGCTTCTGGGCTGTTGGTGATTTTTTCTACCACCTTCCTCTGAAGTACCACAGTACTTCCTCTGAAGGACAGATGCAACTAAATACAGCAACAAACAAGGTGTCCTAAGGCTTCTATAGGTAATAATCTCTAAAGTGCTTGAGTGATGTCCATTATTAATGCAGCCAGAACTCAGCTGCTTTTCAGATTGGGGAAGAGGGAATGAAAAGACTCATTATTGGCATTTCCAGCAAATAATGAAAACAAATAAGAAAAAAAATAAAACCCACAGATTTCAGATGTTTCAGTTTTAATAAGGTTATTATTCCATTGTATTATATGTTAACTCCTTTTTCAATTGATTAAAAAAATGTCACACAATGAGTGGCAAAAATTTTTGCTTATGGTTTCAATAGGACAGACAAAGAACAGAGCAGTAAAAAAGTATCAGCTGCCTCTTACCTGCTTGCATAGACACAAATATTATCTACCAGTGGGAGATTCTTCAGAGCTGCTTCTACTTTGCCAAGAGAAACATATTCTCCTGCCTGCAGTTTTACAAGATCTTTTTTGCGATCTATTGCGGAAAAAAGGAATTAAATGTTAATTACAGAACAGAAAACTTTTAGACAACGATTTTAGATTTTTCTGAAATGCATCTATAAATACCAAAAGATAAGCTGACTCATGTTTGGTGAATGTACCAGAAACATTTAAAGTCAGGTTTCCAGACTCTGTATTTTATCAATCCATTGCTCACACCAAAACAAAAGACACTACAATTCCATGCATTTTCTGCCTTTAGAACAGCATTTCCTATATGACAGCACCATCATGTGCATGGAAGACAACCAGGATTATGCAAAAGCCAGTATTAGCTAGGAGCACATATTTTGTATTGTCTGGTACAGACACTCAAGGCAGAAAATGCACCACTTGGTGACATTTTCTTATTTATTTCAGGCTAAATCCATATATAAAGAGCAACTGTCCTGTTGTTACTTGAAAAACAACAACAGGAACCAAAAGGTAAGGCAAAATAACTGAATCTTATTGTACATAGCCCAAAGAAGACAAAGGTGAGGACAGGGCCTTACCCCCAAGGTGTGGTGGTAGCACCTCTCCTTCACCATGTACTGTTGTGCTGCTTTGTGTGACCAGGCCAGGGGGTTTGTAGCTGTCTGACCTACCTGACCAGTGCAAGACAACTGCAATGGGACCTAAGATTCTTCCCCTATAATAAACCAAATAAGCTTTGTTTTTCAGGATTAAAAGCTCCCTGAATCACCTACTGATTTTCAGAGACTCCTGGTCATTTATAAAGCACCTAATTTTGCACCTACAGGTGTCAAAAAACTATGAGCCTGTCACTGGCTTATGTACTAACACCTTTATCTCGGTATATTTTGCCCTGGTTCATATATGATATAAGGATATTCTTATTAAAGAATGCCAAGATTTAAAAAGAGCTTATTTAATTCCTGAGCATGTATTACCCCAAGAGCCTTTTCACCAATCAAATTCCACACTTAGACAATTAGCTTATAGTTAATTTTCTAATTCCTACCCTGTCTCACTAATATATGGAGTCACTGTTAAGACTGTTCCAAAAGTAACCAAAAAACAACTTCTAAAACACACAAACAAGCCTCCATTAACATATCAGAACCTCCCTGGGATAAATGGGAGGGCTTTAGACTGCATGCCAAGATATGGAGATTTTTTTGTTGTTAATTACTGTATTTAGCAGCCCTGAAAAATGTGAGTATATATACACATATGTTCACCTGAATTTAACTCACCAATAATTTTTAGACACCCATCATGATGAAACTCTCCAATGTCTCCAGTATGGAGCCACCTCTGCCCATTCTCATCAACAGTGAAATCTTTTTTGGTTCGTGCTTCATTTTTGTAGTAGCCTGCAGTCACATTCTGCCCTCCAATAAGGATCTCACCTCTAGGATATGGTTTGTCAGTGTTGTAATAGCCACCTAAAACAATGGTTTTTTTAGTTAGCAAGAAATAAAACATATTACAAAGAAAAAAATTCCTACTATTTTTACTATCTCGATATAGAACTAAACACTGTAGTAAGTCCTTAGCCAAAGCTACCACTTGCCTAAATAGTTCATTAAGAGAGGAAATGGTTCCAATTCTTTTCAGCATTTAAACAGCTGTTAAACAGGTGTGTTTAACAGTGATGTTCACACACATGCAGAGGCAAATGCCACCTCTGTGCAATCTTTCTGCCACATACTAACACCCTCTATCAGTTCTACACAGGCTCAAATAAAAAAAAAAATAAATAATTTTGCCTCACATTTTAGGAAAGAAAAAACCTATAAGGTTTCCCTCTAGCCTAAACCAGCCTTAAGTATTACGTATTTCTACTCTACAATACATAAAAGCCTACAGTGAAAGGAAATCACCTAAATGTATTTCAAACTTTATTATATATATTTTATATAGCATCCATTAAGTTTCCACACTACGAGTCAATTTTTTAATGATTTTACTAATAATATTATAAAGATTATTTTAAAATATTTCTTAGTGGCAACTTAAGGTATCATACACACACTTCAGCTGAAGTTTCCTGAATCCAGCACCTCTAAGGCACAACACACAACCTGCATGAACACTGATCTAAATCAGGAAAAGGTACAGTGCTGTATGCATTTATATAATGTACAAGAAATAGTATAGTCAAAGAGAGTCATAACACTACCAAGTCAAAATCCCACCTGCATTGACAGCCTCTGTCTAGGTATTTCAAAATTTAAAAACCACTGAGGAATTTATTTTACCTTTCTTCTCCCCAAGAGCAAGATTTATAGGCAAGAGTAGCATTTAAAATCTAAACAGCCAATAAATAGTCTTCTAATTACTACTACTGAACAAGGCCTGATTAAAAAAAACCAGTTTTTACAAACATACTTCAATTTAATCACATACAGGAATTCTCACCTTCTTCCCAGTTCATTAACTTTATTTCACAACAGACCAAAGGTGCTCCCACTCTTCCTGTAGTGTAGTCCCAAACTAGAATTTTAAAAAGAGCATTTTTCAGAAAAACATTTAAACAAAACTGATTAGAAAGAAAAACCTTTTTTTTTGTCATGCATCTTATTTAGTGAGAATTAACTGCTATTTATTTTGAAACTTTAATTCATAGAACAGAACTTACAAGAAAAACAATGGATTTATCAAGGTAATGCAGGTAAAATTCTTATCATGCCAAGAGAGTAGATGGACTGTATTTACAGACACCCTCAGTTACTAAAAGGCAACTGAAACCACTGGGTTCTATTATATGAAATTAGAATCTGGTGCAGGCTTTTGCTTTCCATTTTCTATTTTCCTAACATCTCAATATACTCACCAAAATTTGAAAAAAATTATTCAGTTCAACTGGTAAGTGCAACAATGCCATGATCCCATTCACATTATTATGGGTTGCTCCATCACAAACGAGAACATTCATTTGATATGTAGGTCACCAGTTTTAGCACAATGTGCCAAAATTAGTGCTCCTGCTGTTTCATACGTTCATAACAAGTAATTCCCAGGATTCCCCAATCGTGCCTGGTGGCAGGCACACACCAGAGGAACAGGCCACCAAAGATGGCACATGCAGGATGCTCCGCACGGACCAGAGCTCCCAGTGGGATTCACGGACACCAACCTTCCGTGATTGTTCCGGCTCCGGCCGATTCCGTCAGCCCGTAGCCCTGTCCCACAGGGCAGCAGAAACAGATGTTCATGAACCTTTGAGTTGCTGCTGAGAGGGGAGCTCCTCCACAAAGCAGGATGCGGATTTTCCCACCTAGCAGCATTCGGACTTTCCGGAAGATAAGGCTGAAACGCAAAGATAAGAATATATATTTGCTGCTTAAAATCAAAATGAGACAATACCTAATTTTGTATCTGAACTGTAAGTTTCCACCATCTTCAAAAACACTTCTAAGGCATTCAAGGAAAATCCTGAAGGAGCAGCACACTGAAGTTTTCAAAAAGCTTTCTAAGCTTGTTTCCACATTCTAATTTAAAGGGGGGTTAAGTACCTGAGAACAAAGATTGAATGAGACAGCAAAGTTCTGTGATTTTCTCCTAAAAATAATTCAAGTACACTGTATAAATTTTGGAACTACATTATCCTTTAGTCTCACTGAAGCTGGGAGTTAGACTCAGTGATCCTTGTGGGTTCCTTCCAACTTGAGATATTCTGTGACTCCCTTCTGTGAAAATGTGAAGTCTACAGTTTTCTATAGGAATAGAATTCTCATCTTACCCAAGAATTATATAAATCTATTATTAAATTCCTGATGAAAATAACGCAATAAATGTAAATTTCCAATTAGTTTATAGTTAAATAACACTCACTTGAATTATATCAATAAATATTTAAATCCATCACACAAACTACTGATTTGTTGTTTCAACTGACACTTATTTAGACTTGCTCATGTTCAGACCATCAACAATAAAGTGAAGAAAAGCACAAAAAGAAAATCAGATACTGCTCATGCAAGTAAGACTTTGATAAGTGATTTTCTGGTGCCATTACAAATAAAGTTCACATTACCTGTCGCAGAGTGGGGTAGTGTAACCTTTGGAAATCTGTTCCATTTTGTAATTGTAAGCCAATATAAATAGATTCCGCTGGAAACTCGTCATTTCATTCACTTTATTCATGACATTTTTGTAGATCCGATCCATAATTTCCTAGTTACATAAAAAGATTAACTTTAACTCAAAGAAACAGAAACCCTAAATTCAGTACAACCAAAAGAAAACATGATCTAGAAATTAAAGTACATTTCAGATGACAACCAACTCCCAGGTTCCCTCCTCTTCCATTGCTAAGAGATACCAAGATGATCATAGAAAGGAGGAAAGCAAATGTCTGGGCAGGAGCACTAGTTAAACCCCAAGCTGCCTGCTGCCAACTCTCTTTATTCCATTCATTCACTATGATGATCAATAAATTACTAAATGAGTGGGAATCTAATCCCTATAGCTATTCTAACTTGAAAAAACGCTGTCACTCATATGATGATATCCCCAACATAAAAATACCAAAATTATTATTTTAAGCTAGTTTATCACCAAAGGATCTACCTTTTTTACTTAAATGGTCATTGCATTGATTTTGTTGTTAAAAACTGAATTATGAATCCACATTTTAAAACAATTTTTAGAATTATTTATCCTTCAGTTACTTACCGGGACAGCTGCCATTAGGGTTGGCTTAAGTGTAGTAACATCACCTTTGCTTCCTTTCTTTATTTTAGAGGACTAAAGTGAAGAACAAATTTACTAGCAGACATATTCAAGATTTTTAACATGAGAAACAAAATGACATATCTTTCAAAACAATAATTTTTATTTAAATTATATTCTAACAATTAAAGCTAGTCCAGAGTATCAGCCATAATCCCCAATACCCTGGTTTCATGAACTGTAGAAATGAAGATTTGTTGTACTGTTCTTTTAAGAAATATTATAGAGATCTGAGTAATTTTTTTTTTTAATTTCTTTTTTTTTTATATATATATATCCTCTAAGGACTTACATCTACAACATACCTGGTCAGCCAATGTCTGAGGTGAGGAGTAACCGATGCGGCACCCATGAGACAGACACACGAGTTCAGCACTCAGCTCCAGAACATGGGCAAGAGGCAAGTAGCCAATATAGATGTCTTTTTCCCTGTGAAGAATTTGTGAAAGACAGATTTTTGTACCACTAGAATCCTCAGATGAATCATTAAGCAAGATTTTCTCAGAGTTTACCACAGAAGTAGAGAAAGTAGGAAAATGCCTTTGAGCTTGAGAACATATTTCAAATGATATGGGTTTTATTTCACAAGTCCTGTGCTACGTACTGTAAGTTTAAGGCATGAACAAAGGGAGATGTTTACTCCCTTTAACCTGTGTTACGGTTGCAAAGGCAACTCTGTGGACAAGATCACAAACTGCACCAAACAGAAAGAAACCACAGAATTTAAACACTAACCAAGGGAAGTACTGCTTAGGGGAGCTTTCAACCACCCAAGTGCAAGACGGCCTCACAGGCTTTTGTGTCCCAGTCTTACCCACACAGAGAAGATGAGAGAACAAACAGCACATGAAGTAGTTGTGTCATTTAGTGCAGTACTGGAAGATCCTCAGACATCAGTACATAGTATGATGTGTCACAGACATAGCTATGTTTATTTTTTCCACAGTAATTAATCTAAAATTATATTAAACTACACGACTTCTTTATTTGCTGGTAACTAATGGTTGGTACGTACCCCAGGTTTGGAATCCTCTCAGCCATTCCAGTTATCCCAGCAATTATGTTGCAATGGGAGATCATGACTCCTTTGGGAATTCCTGTGGATCCACTTGTGTACATGATCACTGCGATATCCGAGGGCACAGGCCTGGATGGCTGTTTGTGTCCTGCAATTTGTGTTAAAAAAAGAGAACATACAATATGTGGAGAGGCTCTCAGGCTGGGAGATCTGATACACTAACATATTCCAGCAGTCACTGCAATACAGCACCACATGACTCTTGCCATCACATTTTGCTTAAAAAGATTGTGGTCCAGCTCAAATGCTTTCACAAAGAGTAGGAACTTTGCATTAGCTGAGCAATACTTTGAGGGACTGTCCTAGTCTGCCAGGACAATGCTTTTCCTATTATGTTTCTGTTATTCCAGCAGCAGAAAGAAAATTGAGCAGAACTTTGGCTTCTCAAAAATGTCACTGAGCATTTTCCCCCTCGGGCAGGTTTGCTGCCCTGGTTCCACACTGCTGCAGGGACCATCCCCTCTGTGCAAAGCTCCTTTCTCACATGCTCCCTGGCAGGGAACACACTGCCTCATTTGCAACACCTGCAGCAAGGCACTGCTGAGCCAGTGTGAGGTCCAATTCCTATACATATTTAAAAGAAGTTCAACAGCTCTAATTGGATTAAAGTGCTTTTTAAATGCTTGCACTGAGAGCAAGAAAATACAAAAACAATTGTGTTTACTCAGAGGAAAAACTGCATAATGCACAATGCATGTGGTACAATGAGCACAGTGAATGAGAAGCATGAAAGCATATTTAATCATTTCCCACTCACTGAATCCTGCCCATCCCGCACAATGAACACCACAGAGGAAGAAAATATAAGAAACAGCTCATCTACTTAATATTAATTGGACATGCCTGACCATAAACAATTCATGATAGTATTTCACAGTTTATGAATGGTTAACTTGACAAAGATAAATGTTCCTTTATTGTAGTGTAGAGTATGTGATATTTAAAAGACTGAAGAAAGAAGGATTAGACACTGTTTTTACACTGCACACAGATTAACAGATCTCAGGGAGCTAATGAATTACCACAGACATAATTTTTCTGTTGGTGTTGTATGAAACAGTTTTAATAGTACATAAAACTGGTACATCAAAAAGGGAAAACCATCTTTTAAGGAAATTGAGAGGTAATGATGCTGGGAGCAAACCTGCCATTCCCCTGAACATCAAGAGCAGACAGATTAACCACCCTCCCTACTCCTCAAATACAATCCAATATTCATGTGCCTTCAGTAGTCAAGAGATTCTGAAAACACAAAGGATAAGGACAGAAGAAAGCAACTACTGAATATAATTAAATCTTGAGATACTAAGTTGGCAGGTCTTCAGAGCCAAGAATAAATATTTCTCATGTTAATAGTTAAAAAACCTTAGAAAATTCAGAATTTTAGTTCTAAAAATGTGACAGATTAGAAATAGATTTCAATGCATTTACATAGTAAATTGATACTTTCATATATGTAGTAAGTGACCAAGTTCTATCAGATTCAACTGGCTATTTTACATTTTTCTATCTGTGAATTTTACAAAACTTAATAGTAACAAACCACTGATTTCTTTTGTCATAAAATGCACAATGGTTTTGTGTGCCCTGAAAAACCTGGTTTTAATATGTCTGATCAGAAGAACGCTTTCTGAGTTTCTATCCTGGACTAAATGCTTATCCAAAAAATTATCCTTCAACATGTGACACTTGATTGTGGAGAAGGCATTTTCACTAAAAACATCTTCCTCTGTTGAAAAACAAAACAAACTACACCCCAAAAACCAACCACAGCCATACAAAAAGAAAATCCCACATATTTTATTCAAAGAAAAGGCAGATAAGAAAAGGTTAATCACTGCATAATTTTGAGATCTCCAATTTCCCCAGGTTTACTCAACAGAGTCAGGGTAGGACAACAAATGAAGTGGTCCAAACAGAAAGAAGAGAACCTACCAGCATCTGCCTTGGCCCCCATGGCTTGCACAGATGCCATCGTGTGAACGATGACACCCTTGGGAAACTCTGACCACATTGTTGGTTTGCCATCCACTGTTATAATGTGTCGTAGCAGGGGAACTTGAGACACAATTTCCTGTGGAAATAAAAATGTGTTCAAAAACTAAAAATGAGGATTATGCCAACAAGAAAAAAAAAAAAAAACAAACAAGAACCCAAACCCCCACACTATCTACTGTATACTTTTTAAAAAGCATTGACATAAAATCTCAGAATTTTAAATACCAGAGGATAAACCTGTTGAGCTCAAATAGTTGTAAAGGTTGAAACTTTCCACTTACAAGTCCAGAAGCTTCTCCAACCATTTATTGATTTGTGTCTTATTTCATGAAAACCCCACAAATAAGACTGCAACGATTTGTAGAGATAATTGACTTTTCACATCTATAGAACACTGAGAGAAACTGATGATACTGAGCTCACAATAATTCTTAGGTTGCCCCTTGGTAACTACGTTACTTAAAATAAGCAACAGCTAGCAAAAATATGGAAAATCATTAATCAAGCATTTGAAGCAAAATGGCAGTCCTAAAACATTTATCAGTGTTCTAGTGGAAGAAGAGATGATCATTACCTCTAGCAGAACAAATGCATTCTCTTACTGCAAGTTGAAATAAATGTGCATTGCATATATACCATCATTGTAGAACCTTTTTAAAAGTTTGGGTCATTCTCATTCAATTTCCAGCAACAGCACAGTATTCCATTAAATTCCTTTATCTGAAAGGCCCCATTTCCACCAAAACACATAATGATGAAACTCATTCAGATTAATTGTTCTACTTGGGTATTCCAACTGGTTTAGTGAGTCACAAAAGTTTTTTGACCGTTCTAATGTTTAGTAAGCTTTCCCCCCCACAGAAAAACAGCTCTAACTCTTCAATCAGCCATCTTTAGATTTAAAAGCCATTCTCTGCTGGGAGAACATCCAGCAATAAGCCAGGAGGGTGATCACATTTAGCTCTTCATACACAGTGTATACATTTTTCTGTTCTTCCCATTGTTAAATTTATAGGCACTAAATCCACTCAGAAACCATGGCAGTTGCTTGTAAAGGTGTTCCAGGCAGCACTGCAGGTCTTCTATACTGCAAATTGCTCATCCCATTCTCCAGAGTCACTGAGGAGCCTAAAACCCACTGAAAGCAAACTATCACTTTTTTTGTACGTAAACCTTATTCCAAAAGCATCTGCCTTATAGAAAGGCAATAAATCATTGCTCTGTACAATGGAACCAGGCCATTTAATGATAATGAACAGACACACTGGAAAGAAATAGACAAAGAACAGTTTGCTGACCTTCAGTTTTGTTTGCATCAATTCTTTACTGGTGATGATGGTGGTCACCTCCGTTTCATTCAGCCCATGTACTATTGCCGGGCCCCCCAGGGTGGCGTACAGAGTGACAACTGAAACACAGAACGGGGGGAAATGCTGAGTCTCCGTGTCACGTTTTCAATTCCAGTTTACAATAAAGGACCGAGATCAATTCATTCCAAGTTACGTGACAGTAAAAATATTTGTCAACTCAGAAAGGCGGGACAATTTTGTACTTAAAAAAATTCCGACCACATGGATTTAAATGCAGCATGATTTTCAGTTACTCCCAGAACGAATAAAGAACTACCATTGTCTGTATGACTGTTTACTATTTTTCAAGCTCTAATTAGGGGTTCCAAAACAACATCACCCTATGCAATTCTCCTAGATCTTACCAACTGAAAAGAAGCAAATGTTCTCAGTTTAACCATTGTGTAGCAGTCCTCTTGCACACAGGAAAGAAACAGCTTTCACTCATGTGACTTCTCTTTTCAGAATTCACATACTCTGTTACTAATCTTTTAAAATTGACTACTAATAAATTATTACAACATAGCAAAATGTGTCATGAGCAGATGAATTCTCACACTCAGTAATAAATCCATGGCTATCCTATTCGCCCATCTATTTGAAACAACATCATGTCAGAAAGGTTTAATCATCACCATCATTAGAAATTAAACTGAAATCATGAGAATCATACAGAACAGTAAAGAAAATATTTTAAGAATTGACTATAAGAAACACTGTTTCTTCTATTTAAGGACAGTTCATTAGTAATAAATGCGTTAAAAAATTATTTCCTATTAACAACTTTTAAGAACATTTAATTTCCTGTCACTTTAATGGGAACTGAATGAGAACAGAAGAGATTGGTGAAGAAAAAGGCAGCTCAAAAAGGAAGAGAGGTATTGGTCTCAAAAAAATCATAATTTCCTATTTTCCAAGCAGAACACAAAACATGGGTATCTCAAAGAAGTTATAAGGTCAGTCAACACAACCAATAGTTACAATATCCATGCTGGAAGTTTTGTCACATCAGGTATCTGAATCACTTTTGTATTTTAGTCTGTATTTAGCTGAATATTTAAACAACATAATTATGAAAACAAGACACCCTACTGTATGTTAGGACTGTAACTCTACTATGCTCACTGCAGCAAGGATAAAACAATNAAATGCACCACTTTGTGACATTTTCTTATTTATTTCAGGCTAAATCCATATATAAAGAGCAACTGTCCTGTTGTTACTTGAAAAACAACAACAGGAACCAAAAGGTAAGGCAAAATAACTGAATCTTATTGTACATAGCCCAAAGAAGACAAAGGTGAGGACAGGGCCTTACCCCCAAGGTGTGGTGGCAGCACCTCTCCTTCCCCGTGTACTGTTGTGCTGCTTTGTGTGACCAGGCCAGGGGGTTTGTAGCTGTCTGACCTACCTGACCAGTGCAAGACAACTGCAATGGGACCTAAGATTTTTCTCCTATAATAAACCAAGTAAGCTTTGTTTTTCAGGATTAAAAGCTCCCTGAATCACCTACTGATTTTAAGAGACTCCTGGTCATTTATAAAGCACCTAATTTTGCACCTGCAGGTGTCAAAAAACTATGAGCCTGTCACTGGCTTATGTACTAACACCTTTATCTCAGTATATTTTGCCCTGGTTCCTATATGATATAAGGATATTCTTATTAAAGATTTAAAAAGAGTTTATTTATTTCCTGAGCATGTATTACCCCAAGAGCCTTTTTCATCAATCAAATTCCACACTTATACAATTATACAATCTCAGGCAGTTTATCTACTGAATTAACTTATAGTTAATTTTCTAATTACTACCCTGTCTCACTAATATATGGAGTCACTGTTAAGACTGTTCCAAAAGTAACCAAAAAACAACTTCTAAAACACACAAACAAGCCTACAGTAACATATCAGAACCTCCCTGGGATAAATGGGAGGGCTTTAAACTGCATGCCAAGATATGGAGATTTTTTTGTTGTTAATTACTGTATTTAGCAGCCCTGAAAAATGTGAGTATATATACACATATGTTCACCTGAATTTAACTCACCAATAATTTTTAGACACCCATCATGATGAAACTCTCCAATGTCTCCAGTATGGAGCCACCTCTGCCCATTCTCATCAACAGTGAAATCTTTTTTGGTTCGTGCTTCATTTTTGTAGTAGCCTGCAGTCACATTCTGCCCTCCAATAAGGATCTCACCTCTAGGATATGGTTTGTCAGTGTTGTAATAGCCACCTAAAACAATGGTTTTTTTAGTTAGCAAGAAATAAAACATATTACAAAGAAAAAAATTCCTACTATTTTTACTATCTCGATATAGAACTAAACACTGTAGTAAGTCCTTAGCCAAAGCTACCACTTGCCTAAATAGTTCATTAAGAGAGGAAATGGTTCCAATTCTTTTCAGCATTTAAACAGCTGTTAAACAGGTGTGTTTAACAGTGATGTTCACACACATGCAGAGGCAAATGCCACCTCTGTGCAATCTTTCTGCCACATACTAACACCCTCTATCAGTTCTACACAGGCTCAAATAAAAAAAAAAATAAATAATTTTGCCTCACATTTTAGGAAAGAAAAAACCTATAAGGTTTCCCTCTAGCCTAAACCAGCCTTAAGTATTACGTATTTCTACTCTACAATACATAAAAGCCTACAGTGAAAGGAAATCACCTAAATGTATTTCAAACTTTATTATATATATTTTATATAGCATCCATTAAGTTTCCACACTACGAGTCAATTTTTTAATGATTTTACTAATAATATTATAAAGATTATTTTAAAATATTTCTTAGTGGCAACTTAAGGTATCATACACACACTTCAGCTGAAGTTTCCTGAATCCAGCACCTCTAAGGCACAACACACAACCTGCATGAACACTGATCTAAATCAGGAAAAGGTACAGTGCTGTATGCATTTATATAATGTACAAGAAATAGTATAGTCAAAGAGAGTCATAACACTACCAAGTCAAAATCCCACCTGCATTGACAGCCTCTGTCTAGGTATTTCAAAATTTAAAAACCACTGAGGAATTTATTTTACCTTTCTTCTCCCCAAGAGCAAGATTTATAGGCAAGAGTAGCATTTAAAATCTAAACAGCCAATAAATAGTCTTCTAATTACTACTACTGAACAAGGCCTGATTAAAAAAAACCAGTTTTTACAAACATACTTCAATTTAATCACATACAGGAATTCTCACCTTCTTCCCAGTTCATTAACTTTATTTCACAACAGACCAAAGGTGCTCCCACTCTTCCTGTAGTGTAGTCCCAAACTAGAATTTTAAAAAGAGCATTTTTCAGAAAAACATTTAAACAAAACTGATTAGAAAGAAAAACCTTTTTTTTTGTCATGCATCTTATTTAGTGAGAATTAACTGCTATTTATTTTGAAACTTTAATTCATAGAACAGAACTTACAAGAAAAACAATGGATTTATCAAGGTAATGCAGGTAAAATTCTTATCATGCCAAGAGAGTAGATGGACTGTATTTACAGACACCCTCAGTTACTAAAAGGCAACTGAAACCACTGGGTTCTATTATATGAAATTAGAATCTGGTGCAGGCTTTTGCTTTCCATTTTCTATTTTCCTAACATCTCAATATACTCACCAAAATTTGAAAAAAATTATTCAGTTCAACTGGTAAGTGCAACAATGCCATGATCCCATTCACGTTATTATGGGTTGCTCCATCACAAACGAGAACATTCATTTGATATGTAGGTCACCAGTTTTAGCACAATGTGCCAAAATTAGTGCTCCTGCTGTTTCATACGTTTATAACAAGTAATTCCCAGGATTCCCCAATCATGCCTGGTGGCAGGCACACACCAGAGGAACAGGCCACCAAAGATGGCACATGCAGGATGCTCCGCACGGACCAGAGCTCCCAGTGGGATTCACGGACACCAACCTTCCGTGATTGTTCCGGCTCCGGCCGATTCCGTCAGCCCGTACCCCTGTCCCACAGGGCAGCAGAAACAGATGTTCATGAACCTCTGAGTTGCTGCTGAGAGGGGAGCTCCTCCACAAAGCAGGATGCGGATTTTCCCACCTAGCAGCATTCGGACTTTCCGGAAGATAAGGCTGAAACGCAAAGATAGGAATATATATTTGCTGCTTAAAAACAAAATGAGACAATACCTAATTTTGTATCTGAACTGCAAGTTTCCACCATCTTCAAAAACACTTCTAAGGCATTCAAGGAAAATCATGAAGGAGCAGCACACTGAAGTTTTCAAAAAGCTTTCTAAGCTTGTTTCCACATTCTAATTTAAAGGGGGGTTAAGTACCTGAGAACAAAGATTGAATGAGACAGCAAAGTTCTGTGATTTTCTCCTAAAAATAATTCAAGTACACTGTATAAATTTTGGAACTACATTATCCTTTAGTCTCACTGAAGCTGGGAGTTAGACTCAGTGATCCTTGTGGGTTCCTTCCAACTTGAGATATTCTGTGACTCCCTTCTGTGAAAATGTGAAGTCTACAGTTTTCTATAGGAATAGAATTCTCATCTTACCCAAGAATTATATAAATCTATTATTAAATTCCTGATGAAAATAACGCAATAAATGTAAATTTCCAATTAGTTTATAGTTAAATAACACTCACTTGAATTATATCAATAAATATTTAAATCCATCACACAAACTACTGATTTGTTGTTTCAACTGACACTTATTTAGACTTGCTCATGTTCAGAGCATCAACAATAAAGTGAAGAAAAGCACAAAAAGAAAATCAGATACTGCTCATGCAAGTAAGACTTTGATAAGTGATTTTCTGGTGCCATTACAAATAAAGTTCACATTACCTGTCGCAGAGTGGGGTAGTGTAACCTTTGGAAATCTGTTCCATTTTGTAATTGTAAGCCAATATAAATAGATTCCGCTGGAAACTCGTCATTTCATTCACTTTATTCATGACATTTTTGTAGATCCGATCCATAATTTCCTAGTTACATAAAAAGATTAACTTTAACTCAAAGAAACAGAAACCCTAAATTCAGTACAACCAAAAGAAAACATGATCTAGAAATTAAAGTACATTTCAGATGACAACCAACTCCCAGGTTCCCTCCTCTTCCATTGCTAAGAGATACCAAGATGATCATAGAAAGGAGGAAAGCAAATGTCTGGGCAGGAGCACTAGTTAAACCCCAAGCTGCCTGCTGCCAACTCTCTTTATTCCATTCATTCACTATGATGATCAATAAATTACTAAATGAGTGGGAATCTAATCCCTATAGCTATTCTAACTTGAAAAAACGCTGTCACTCATATGATGATATCCCCAACATAAAAATACCAAAATTATTATTTTAAGCTAGTTTATCACCAAAGGATCTACCTTTTTTACTTAAATGGTCATTGCATTGATTTTGTTGTTAAAAACTGAATTATGAATCCACATTTTAAAACAATTTTTAGAATTATTTATCCTTCAGTTACTTACCGGGACAGCTGCCATTAGGGTTGGCTTAAGTGTAGTAACATCACCTTTGCTTCCTTTCTTTATTTTAGAGGACTAAAGTGAAGAACAAATTTACTAGCAGACATATTCAAGATTTTTAACATGAGAAACAAAATGACATATCTTTCAAAACAATAATTTTTATTTAAATTATATTCTAACAATTAAAGCTAGTCCAGAGTATCAGCCATAATCCCCAATACCCTGTTTCATGAACTGTAGAAATGAAGATTTGTTGTACTGTTCTTTTAAGAAATATTATAGAGATCTGAGTAATTTTTTTTTTTAATTTCTTTTTTTTTTATATATATATATCCCCTAAGGACTTACATCTACAACATACCTGGTCAGCCAATGTCTGAGGTGAGGAGTAACCGATGCGGCACCCATGAGACAGACACACGAGTTCAGCACTCAGCTCCAGAACATGGGCAAGAGGCAAGTAGCCAATATAGATGTCTTTTTCCCTGTGAAGAATTTGTGAAAGACAGATTTTTGTACCACTAGAATCCTCAGATGAATCATTAAGCAAGATTTTCTCAGAGTTTACCACAGAAGTAGAGAAAGTAGGAAAATGCCTTTGAGCTTGAGAATATATTTCAAATGATATGGGTTTTATTTCACAAGTCCTGTGCTACGTACTGTAAGTTTAAGGCATGAACAAAGGGAGATGTTTACTCCCTTTAACCTGTGTTATGGTTGCAAAGGCAACTCTGTGGACAAGATCACAAACTGCACCAAACAGAAAGAAACCACAGAATTTAAACACTAACCAAGCGAAGTACTGCTTAGGGGAGCTTTCCACCACCCAAGTGCAAGGCAGCCTCACAGGCTTTTGTGTCCCAGTCTTACCCACATAGAGAAGATGAGAGAACAAACAGCACATGAAGTAGTTGTGTCATTTAGTGCAGTACTGGAAGATCCTCAGTATGATGTGTCACAGACACAGCTATGTTTATTTTTTCCACAGTAATTAATCTTAAATTATATTCAACTACATGATTTCTTTATTTGCTAGTAACCAATGGTTGGTACGTACCCCAGGTTTGGAATCCTCTCAGCCATTCCAGTTATCCCAGCAATTATGTTGCAATGGGAGATCATGACTCCTTTGGGAATTCCTGTGGATCCACTTGTGTACATGATCACTGCAATATCCGAGGGCACAGGCCTGGACGGCTGTTTGTGTCCTGCAATTTGTGTTAAAAAAAGAGAACATACAATATGTGGAGAGGCTCTCAGACTGGGAGATCTGATACACTAACATATTCCAGCAGTCACTACAATACAGCACCACATGACTCTTGCCATCACATTTTGCTTAAAAAGATTGTGGTCCAGCTCAAATGCTTTCACAAAGAGTAGGAACTTTGCATTAGCTGAGCAATACTTTGAGGGACTGTCCTAGTCTGCCAGGACAATGCTTTTCCTATTATGTTTCTGTTATTCCAGCAGCAGAAAGAAAATTGAGCAGAACTTTGGCTTCTCAAAAATGTCACTGAGCATTTTCCCCCTCGGGCAGGTTTGCTGCCCTGGTTCCACACTGCTGCAGGGACCATCCCCTCTGTGCAAAGCTCCTTTCTCACATGCTCCCTGGCAGGGAACACACTGCCTCATTTGCAACACCTGCAGCAAGGCACTGCTGAGCCAGTGTGAGGTCCAATTCCTATACATATTTAAAAGAAGTTCAACAGCTCTAATTGGATTAAAGTGCTTTTTAAATGCTTGCACTGAGAGCAAGAAAATACAAAAACAATTGTGTTTACTCAGAGGAAAAACTGCATAATGCACAATGCATGTGGTACAATGAGCACAGTGAATGAGAAGCATGAAAGCATATTTAATCATTTCCCACTCACTGAATCCTGCCCATCCCGCACAATGAACACCACAGAGGAAGAAAATATAAGAAACAGCTCATCTACTTAATATTAATTGGACATGCCTGACCATAAACAATTCATGATAGTATTTCACAGTTTATGAATGGTTAACTTGACAAAGATAAATGTTCCTTTATTGTAGTGCAGAGTATGTGATATTTAAAAGACTGAAGAAAGAAGGATTAGACACTGTTTTTACACTGCACACAGATTAATAGATCTCAAGGAGCTAATGAATTACCACAGACATAATTTTTCTGTTGGTGTTGTACGAAACAGTTTTAATAGTACATAAAACTGGTACATCAAAAAGGGAAAACCATCTTTTAAGGAAATTGAGAGGTAATGATGCTGGGAGCAAACCTGCCATTCCCCTGAACATCAAGAGCAGACAGATTAACCACCCTCCCTACTCCTCAAATACAATCCAATATTCATGTGCCTTCAGTAGTCAAGAGATTCTGAAAACACAAAGGATAAGGACAGAAGAAAGCAACTACTGAATATAATTAAATCTTGAGATACTAAGTTGGCAGGTCTTCAGAGCCAAGAATAAATATTTCTCATGTTAATAGGTAAAAAACCTTAGAAAATTCAGAATTTTAGTTCTAAAAATTTACATAGTAAATTGATACTTTCATATATGTAGTAAGTGACCAAGTTCTATCAGATTCAACTGGCTATTTTACATTTTTCCATCTGTGAATTTTACAAAACTTAATAGTAACAAACCACTGATTTCTTTTGTCATAAAATGTGCCCTGAAAAACCTGGTTTTAATATGTCTGATCAGAAGAACGCTTTCTGAGTTTCTATCCTGGACTAAATGCTTATCCAAAAAATTATCCTTCAACATGTGACACTTGATTGTGGAGAAGGCATTTTCACTAAAAGCATCTTCCTCTGTTGAAAAACAAAACAAACTACACCCCAAAAACCAACCACAGCCATACAAAAAGAAAATCCCACATAGTTTATTCAAAGAAAAGGCAGATAAGAAAAGGTTAATCACTGCATAATTTTGAGATCTGCAATTTCCCCAGATTTACTCAACAGAGTCAGGGTAGGACAACAAATGAAGTGGTCCAAACAGAAAGAAGAGAACCTACCAGCATCTGCCTTGGCCCCCATGGCTTGCACAGATGCCATCGTGTGAACAATGACACCCTTGGGAAACTCTGACCACATTGTTGGTTTGCCATCCACTGTTATAATGTGTCGTAGCAGTGGAACTTGAGACACAATTTCCTGTGGAAATAAAAATGTGTTCAAAAACTAAAAATGAGGATTATGCCAACAAGAAAAAAAAAACCAAAACAAGAACCCAAACCCCCACACTATCTACTGTATACTTTTTAAAAAGCATTGACAAAAAATCTCAGAATTTTAAATATCAGAGGATAAACCTGCTGAGCTCAAATAGCTGCAAAGGTTGAAACTTTCCACTTAGAAGTCCAGAAGCTTCTCCAACCATTTATTGATTTGTGTCTTATTTCATGAAAACCCCACAAATAAGACTGCAATGATTTGTAGAGATAATTGACTTTTCACATCTATAGAACACTGAGAGAAACTGATGATACTGAGCTCACAATAATTCTTAGGTTGCCCCTTGGTAACTACGTTACTTAAAATCAGCAACAGCTAGCAAAAATATGGAAAATCATTAATCAAGCATTTGAAGCAAAATGGCAGTCCTAAAACATTTATCAGTGTTCTAGTGGAAGAAGAGATGATCATTACCTCTAGCAGAACAAATGCATTCTCTTACTGCAAGTTGAAATAAATATGCATTGCATATATACCATCATTGTAGAACCTTTTTAAAAGTTTGGGTCATTCTCATGCAATTTCCAGCAACAGCACAGTATTCCATTAAATTCCTTTATCTGAAAGGCCCCATTTCCACCAAAACACATAATGATGAAACTCATTCAGATTAATTGTTCTACTTGGGTATTCCAACTGGGTTAGCGAGTCACAAAAGTTTTTTGACCGTTCTAATGTTTAGTAAGCTTTCCCCCACACAGAAAAACAGCTCTAACTCTTCAATCAGCCATCTTTAGATTTAAAAGCCATTCTCTGCTGGGAGAACATCCAGCAATAAGCCAGGAGGGTGATCACATTTAGCTCTTCATACACAGTGTATACATTTTTCTGTTCTTCCCATTGTTAGATTTATAGGCACTAAATTCACTCAGAAACCACGGCAGTTGCTTGTAAAGGTGTTCCAGGCAGCACTGCAGGTCTTCTATACTGCAAATTGCTCATCCCATTCTCCAGAGTCACTGAGGAGCCTAAAACCCACTGAAAGCAAACTATCACTTTTTTGGTACGTAAACCTTATTCCAAAAGCATCTGCCTTATAGAAAGGCAATAAATCATTGTTCTGTACAATGGAACCAGGCCATTTAATGATAATGAACAGACACACTGGAAAGAAATAGACAAAGAACAGTTTGCTGACCTTCAATTTTGTTTGCATCAATTCTTTACTGGTGATGATGGTGGTCACCTCCGTTTCATTCAGCCCATGTACTATTGCCGGGCCCCCCAGGGTGGCGTACAGAGTGACAACTGAAACACAGAACGGGGGGAAATGCTGAGTCTCCGTGTCACATTTTCAGTTCCAGTTTACAATAAAGGACTGAGATCAATTCATTCCAAGTTGCGTGACAGTAAAAATATTTGTCAACTCAGAAAGGCGGGACAATTTTGTACTTAAAAAAATTCCGACCACATGGATTTAAATGCAGCATGATTTTCAGTTACTCCCAGAACAAATAAAGAACTACCATTGTCTGTATGACTGTTTACTATTTTTCAAGCTCTAATTAGGGGTTCCAAAACCACATCACCCTATGCAATTCTCCTAGATCTTACCAACTGAAAAGAAGCAAATGTTCTCAGTTTAACCATTGTGTAGCAGTCCTCTTGCACACAGGAAAGAAACAGCTTTCACCCATGTGACTTCTCTTTTCAGAATTCACATACTCTGTTACTAATCTTTTAAAATTGACTACTAATAAATTATTACAACATAGCAAAATGTGTCATGAGCAGATGAATTCTCACACTCAGTAATAAATCCATGGCTATCCTATTCGCCCATCTATTTGAAACAACATCATGTCAGAAAGGTTTAATCATCACCATCATTAGAAATTAAACTGAAATCATGAGAATCAGACAGAACAGCAAAGAAAATATTTTAAGAATTGACTATAAGAAACACCGTTTCTTCTATTTAAGGACAGTTCATTAGTAATAAATGCGTTAAAAAATTATTTCCTATTAACAACTTTTAAGAACATTTCATTTCCTGTCACTTTAATGGGAACTGAATGAGAACAGAAGAGACTGGTGAAGAAAAAGGCAGCTCAAAAAGGAAGAGAGGTATTGGTCTCAAAAAAATCATAATTTCCTATTTTCCAAGCAGAACACAAAACATGGGTATCTCAAAGAAGTTATAAGGTCAGTCAACACAACCAATAGTTACAATATCCATGCTGGAAGTTTTGTCACATCAGGTATCTGAATCACTTTTGTATTTTAGTCTGTATTTAGCTGAATATTTAAACAACATAATTATGAAAACAAGACACCCTACTGTATGTTAGGACTGTAACTCTACTATGCTCACTGCAGCAAGGATAAAACAATTAAAGTTCTGTTGTATTTTAAGATTTGAAATCCAAGGAGTTACTAACCCAGCACAGCATACCAAGGAAGAACTCAAAAGCACTTTTCTTACACAGAAAAGTAAATAGTTGACCTCTACTTATTTTTTCCTTGTTAAAACAGTCCATCATAGTTCAGAACTGTTGCAGGGCAAATGCACATGCACTGTGTTTTCTTTAATTTGGTGGGAGCAAAGTCCAGAAGAGTGCCTCTACTAGTTCCCACGAGCTCTCTCTACTTACTGCAGTGACCCCTGTTATATAAACATCTCACAGAAATTCAGCTTCCCTGAGCCAACAAGCAGAACTGACACACCGCCCAGAAGGAAAAGGATCATCTCTGAAATAACCCTGTATGTAGTTACTCATCTGCAAATAAGTACATTAAGACACTTAGAGCTATATGACAGAGCCAAACAGAGAAACCATTTATATGACGGTGCACTTATGTCATGGAGAGAATAAAATTGAGCAATGACTCTGATCTCTGAAATTCTCACTTCTCCACACTGGCACCCAAAACTTTTTCAGGCAAATCTGAAAGTTTTGGTAAATTTTTCTTCTCTCCTTGTTCTCTTGAAAACATATCAAGAAGGGATTATCTTGTGTTCACCTTTACACATGCAGTAGTACTAGTGAGTCTTTGTTATCTGACCTTCTGCTAGGAATGTTGCTCTAAAAGTCTAAACAGAGAAACCCCAACACTACTAAATTTGCCAGCTCATATACAAGGACAAAGCCTTGCCCTAAAGAAACAAATTAACTACTGCAATTTATTTCAATGTAACTCAAATGTTAAACTGAGTATTTCAACATCCATCATACATCAAAAATAAAAAGCAAAATACACATTTAAAGGCTTCAACCAAATAAATTCTGACAAGACCACTTCTGCTCAAGCTTTAGGAAGGTATGATTGAAAAATAAAACCTAAGGTGTCCTATTTTGTTATTTGGTTATACATTTGGGTGTTCTCTCTGCCTACACTGGTGAAGAGCTGTTCACATAGATGGAGAGGAGGTACTCTGGAAGAAAAATCTGTTTTCATGTTATACAACTTTTCTCATTTTTGAACTAGCAGTCCCACTCTACCTCCTCAAATACAAGACTTAGCCTCAAACAATTCACATTTAAAAACAAGCATTTCTAATCATAAAATTGCTTGCTTGTGCAAGTAATCCAAAACAAAAATTACTTTCCCCATTTTAATTCTGTAGTGCAAAAGGCATTCTCTCCAACACTATGTATGAAACAGATGAACCTGCTCTCTTGGCATCAGTTCTGGGCCCACACCATCAGATTTCATACACTTCACGTTCAGAAAGAATAAAACAACGCTACCAGAGCGGTTAGCTCTAAAACAAAAAATACTAAGTCATTTAGCAATGTCTTGCCACACTACTACTTCAAGACCATCTGAATTTTCTAATTCATTCAGCAAACTGACCGTGGATACTGCACAACACTCTCATCCTCTGCCAACACACAAGTCAGCCAAGTTCACATCAGACGACGCACAGCTCAGATGCCGAATACCACGTCAGACAGTGTGCTGGAGCACGTTGCAACGAGGGGATTTAAAACGTTAATCCAACAAAACCAAAAACATATGCATTCCATTCTGCTCACAACATCCATCCCCTATCTCAGATTTCACCCCCTCCCCTCAAATTACGAAATCTTCCTAGGATTTGTAAGTGTACTTCACTACCAAAGGGAAAAAATGATACAAGCCTTTGAATTTTATTTATTTACAAGACTTTGAATGTTGTATTTATTACACAAGCCTATTAATTTTAAGCTCTTGAATTTTATTGAATTTATTCAAAGGCTTTTATACAAGCCTTTGAATTTATATAGTCACCAGGAATCTGATAGATCCCAAAAGTGATAAAAGGGAACTGGCATGGTGTATTACGAGACATGTAATTTAAAAGCAACACAGGTATCTTATCTGAGAATAGCCTGTGCAGGTCTCTGCTCTGACAGACAGGCCAGCAGCATTTACTCACTTAAGAAAGAATCAAAAACATCACCAAATTTAGGTTGGAAGGCACCTAGGAAGATCACCTGCACACACCATTCACTACAGCAGAGTGTTCAGAACCATGGCCAGTCTGGTTTTTACACATCTCCAAGGATGGATATCTCACAACTATTCTAGGTCCCTGTTCTGATACTGAACCACCCTCACAATGAAGAGGTTTGCCCTAATATCTAATCAAGTTTTCCTGCCATTCAACTAGTATCTGTCACCTCCAGTCTCATCAAAACACACCTTTGAGCAGAGTCTGGCTTCACCTCCTCTGAATGCTCCCACTGGATAGTTCTAGATGGCAGCAAGATCTGAACTCACTCATCTTAATGCTGAACAGATCCTGATCTATCAGCCTCTCCTCAAAGGTCACATTCTCCAGCCCCTTCAGCCTCTTGGCAGCCCTCCACTGGACTTGCTCCAGTATGTCAATGTCTTTTTCCTACAAGGAAGTCCTAAAGCAGACACAGTACTCCAGATGTGGTTTTACCAGTGTTCAAAAGGAGAAGAAGGATAATTTCCCTGGACACTAAGTGCTACATTCATGCTACCACCACCCAGGATGCTGCTGGCCTCCACTGCAAGAAAGCACTGAGAAATCTGATTGACCCATTGCCCACCAGAACCCTCAGGTACTTCTCTGTCAAGCTGCTCTCTCCGACTGTCCCCCAGCCTATACCGGTACATGAGGTATTCCAGCACACACAGAGAAAATTTTAAGTGCCTCCACCAAACTCCATCAGGTTCCAGACAACACGCTTTTCAGCTGACAGGTTCCTCTCCACATCAGCCCTGTCCTTGAGTGTCCAGAGCCCTGTCTTCCTCCCTACATCAGCTCTGTCCTTGACTGTACTGGCTGCTGTGTAACACCTCCTGTGTTTGCATTCTGTCCCATCATCCAGGTCTTCAATAAAGAAATTAAACAGTATTGGAGTCAATATCAACCCCTGAGGGTTGGTAAGTAACTTTGCCCTACTTATCCAGCTTTTATCTGAATAGTTTGGCTGTACAGGTACTACAAGAGCCCATTGCCAAAGGCCTTGGTGAAGTCACAATACAGGACATCCACTCTTTCCTTATCTGCAGAGCCAGATATCATATAAGGCAAGCAGGCTGACTTTGAAATGTTATGTGCTAGGGCAGTGCACCTTGTCATCAACTCCACCCTTAAAACTAAGGGAACAACACAGCAAAGGGTACACACAAAATAAGTCTTCACAGCATATCTCGGGTTATGTAAGTGAAAACTGCTATACACTCATCAACATATGATTTCTCAGACTGAAACAGATTCGTGCTCAGAGCAAAGAGAGACCATTGAAGACATAATAATCTTGTTAGGCTTGTTGTGAAAAGCTGAAAAAAGTCTAACTGATAGACATCTTTGGTGTACATAGGTAGCAAATCAGGAATTTCTGCACATGTGGCTTTTACAGCCCATCTCTTATTGAAGGAGGGTTAACACAGCAGGGAAGAGGCCAAAGCCCATGAGGAACAGCAGTTTTTAGTGTGCCCTTTGGGACAAGGAGATATGGACCTCTGAGAGCATCACAGAACCCAGTCAGGCTGGGCTTACAGTGAGGTGAATGACAAACTACAAGCGATGATGAAACAGATATTTAAACAACTACAGCAAGTTGAGATTAGCACTCAGTAAATTTCTTGGCAAGAAAAAAACAGGTTGAACCAAAATCAAAACCGAAAACCTGACAAAATATCCAGTTAAAACAAAACTTACAGGCACGGATGAAGGTTTGACGCCAACTCCTGAAACTGAGTTAATGAATTCATGTGTGATTTTTGTTTGTTTGCTTGTTTTTAGAAACTTGGGAATCTGTACTGATTTGAGACTACAAGAAGATAAACCTCCCATGAATTCATTGAGCAAACTCAAAGTCATACTCCATCTGCAAACATGCAGGTTTCTCTATTCACTAACACAAAATGCTATAAAGTGCACAGTCTCTACCTTATGCAGCATTTTTTAGTTCGCAAATTTTAACGCTCTATACAAAATACATACCAAGTTTTCTTAGTATGTAAAGCAAAGAAGAAGTTTTATTTTCAGACTGTGTTGTAAGATCAAAACTTCAGGGAAGACGTGGACTTACGCTGGTAGTTGCACATAAAGCAGGCCTGTGCTGCAATCATCCACTCAGCTCTGGTCTCACAGAAGATAGCGATGTTAGTCTTTGGCTGCTGACCCAACACTGCTAAGCCATTTCCAAAATTAACAGCTTTAATGTATACATCTTCATAAGAAAGCCAGGTGTACTTGCCAAGGATGACCTAATAAGAATAATAAGTTCATTTTAGAAAGTGAAAATGTTTAACACATGTCCTACTACATCTTCACCCACATGAAGAGTCCACAGATGTCTGAAGTAACATGTGCTTGAATTATAACAGCAGTTTACTCAAGATAATGAATAATACTCTTGCCAAAAGCTACAGGGTCTGTGGAAGTTCCAACACAAATACTGCAATATGTCTACACACATTACCACCTCAGTTTCTATTTTCATGTGAGGGAAGCACATGATTCCCACAGTGCTCCACAGCTTCAGAAGCCCCCTGAAAGGCTGCATGTGGTTATCTGGCCCACATGCCTTTACTTTTTAAAAAGATTTGTTTTATGTAAAGGGTGACAAGCACTAGCTGGTACAATTCGTTCTTTATATTTCTTGTATATTTGGGCTACAGTTCTCCTACACAAATACAATGCTTAGGCATTCATTAAAACAAAAAAATTAAAAAAAGGTAAACTGGAATCCAGAAAGTAGCATATCCACAGGTCCTCAGTCAGAAATTGTGAAATCCCTTTTCCCTTCACTCTGAAACAAACGTCAAGGGGAAGAGTAGCAATAATTTTGCCCTTTTTTTTACTGTTAAACAAAAGTGGGACTGAAGACCAGACTGGAAATTACTGACAAATCTCAGTTCTGAGAAGTCATGTGGAAAATATTAAGCAATCTCACTTTTCCTCTATATGGGAAAGCTGGTGCACAGTAAAACTGGATTTGAATTTACAGGTCATATCACAGGTTTCTACACATGCACTTGCACCTTGCAGTACTATTTTCTTACTGAGTGACAGAATATTTCTTTGAGGATATTCTAGATATTTTCATATCTAGATGTAGTATGAAGATGTTTTACATTGAAATCCAGACTCTAAATCATTATACCTTACCCATCTAGTTATACAAGCACACTGACAATTTTGAAAAACATAATTGTTTAGTCAAGTATTTCAGAAATTTTCCTTAACTAGAAAATATTAGCAATAAATGCAAGCAAACACTAAAAAGCTATAAAAGCAAACTTTTCTTCCTTCTCCATTCTTTTTTTCCCACATTTCACTCATAAACTTGAACTGAATTTCAAACTTGTAGGCTGTTGAATCTAATGATGTTTTGGCATGTAATTACATTTCTAGTGAGTATGTATTTCCACATCCACTTCCTTAATAAGATATATTTAAAAACCTCTCTCAACCTCTAATAAAAACTAAAATTTAGTAGATTTCTTTTATCAAAACACTTTTCCAAACTGCTGAAGTTACAACAAGGTAACTGAGTTGGCACCTATCAGTCTTGCTGCATATTGCTCACTAATCTACTTGTTTAGCAGGACAAACCTTTCTTTACTCAGGACAGGTACATGTGCAGCTGCTCAGAAATTCCACAAAATGTTTTCATGGGACAACACCATTTAATGAACTCAAAAAACAATACTTGCAATATATAGCAATTCTGCCAGAAAATACATATTTCCCACACAACTATCTTCTTAGGTTTTCCTGGGTTAGTTACAGAAACTCATTTTCATTGGCAAACAGGCTGTTTCAGAGCCAAAAACCTTACTGGAGCAGAAAGACCAGGTTGGAAATCTCTACTGTAAGCAGTGAGAGAACCCCAGCAGCACTGCTGCTGCACCAAGAGGGGGGGGCTCACCCCTGGCTGGTGCTCACTGCCACATCCCCCCATGAGAGGGGGATTTTGGGGTTCCTTTCAACTCACCAAGATATTTCTGGTGTGGAAAACTCCTACTGTTTCCAAGGAAAATATTGCACCTCTTCCCGTCCATACAAATTTCGGTAATTTGGAATTTAAATTCTAATTTGGGACATTTTTCCCCAAAGGCAGTATTTTTGGCACAGTTGGAAATTCTTGACAAGCTCATCAGTTGAAAACAATTTATAGCAGTGAACTGGGCAATACCCTTTCCCCCATTATATTCTGCCTACAGCGTGGCCTCAGGAAAACTGTTCATAAATAATTAGGCCAGGAAATACAAGCAGATTCTTGTTACTGTTTCTGGTAAGTTTGCCAAGTCATAACAGGTTTTAGTAATTTCCACCATTCACTACGTTACTCGTTAAAGTAGGGAAAAAAAATCATTAAGAGGTCAAAAATAAATCTTATCGAGTAAGACCTGAAATTCCATTTTTCTTCCCTTTTTTAATTCTCTTACAGAATTCATCCTCATTACTTAAACAAGTTTGATATGAAGTAGTGAGAGAAGGGTTTATTGGTGCCTTCTTTTCTTAAAAAGGAAAATTCCACAGGAAAGACGTTAGGTATAGTTATTTATATACATATAAAAATACATTTCTGAAGAACACTGACACGTGAAAACAGGTAAGATTATTTTCAATGCAGTTATTTTGAGTTTTACTTTCCTACTGCCTTCTATATATTTAAATTTTAATGTTCCTTTCTTCCTCATGCCCACCATTTCTTCTCTATTCCCTCCCTACATGATTTATAATATATTCACTTTAATGAGTAATATATATTCACATATACATATATAAATATTAACATACTGCCTCTGTTTGTATGTCCCTTTCCTCTGCATTTCGCTATACGCTTCTTTTGCAGGGCACAGAGCAGATTATGGTCTTTCTCAAACTTCCTTATTTTTTATGTCTCCAAATCCATCTCCCTTCCTGGCCTTTCCCTCAGTAGCTTTTGCTAATATTTTCCAGTGCACAGCTCAGGAAAGACAAGAAACTATTGGAGAGGGTCCAGTGGAGGCTACAAAGATGATCTGGCATCTGGAACATCTCTCTTAGAAGGAGAGACTGTGGGAGCTGGGTCTGTTCAGTCCAGAGAAAAGACTGAGGGGATCTCATTAATGCACAGAAATATCTCAAAGGCAGGTGCCAAGAGGATGGTGCCAGACTCTTTTCAGTGGTGCCCAGTGACAGGATGAGGAAGACCATCTCAACATGAGGAAGAACTTCTTTACACTGAGGGTGGCAGATCACTGGAACAGGCTGCCCAGGGAGGTCATGGAATCTCCCTCTCCGGAGACATTCCAAACCTACCTGGATGTGTTCCTGTGTCACCTGCTCCAGGTGACCCTGCCTTGGCAGGAAGGTTGGACTAGAGGATCCCCAGAGATACCTTCCAACCCCAACAATTCTGTCCCTCAGTTTCTGCTGTAAACAGCTGTTAAGGTTGACATTAAGTGCCATAATCCTTTTTAAACGTTCACACACATTTAACTTCACAACTTTCCGAACTTGCTTTTGCTTGGTAACTACTTACATGTGTAAAAAAAGCAACTGTCTAAGAGTTGGCAAAAGGGGCCAAAAAGTGGAGATTATTGAGCATTCACTAAACAGCCCCACAAACCTCAGCAGTGCCCAGCAGGGAACGCAGCTTTGGGGCTTCACCTGGAAACACGACATTCCATAGGAAAACGCTGCCCTCTAGTGCTCCAGATTTTAAACTGCAGGATGAGTTACCGACGTAATGCACCATAAAATACTAGGAAGTATCAGGACTATATTAATATTTGGAACTCCAGAAAAGTGTAGACACTAAACACACAGTTAACATTTCTTTTACCTGGATTTTAGGGAGATATTAAAATTTTTTACTACGAAGGTGTCATAAAATATTCTCCATAAAGCTGCTGGCACAAGTACAGTCATTAAACTACCTGACTTCAATTACCTTTGAAGGTCTTGCTAAAAGTACCTTATAAGGCTTAAAGAACCTTGACTACTCTTTGGAAGCAAGTAATCATTAATTAAATATATTTTCTTGTAGAAAGCATATTATAAATAATACAAACGAGATTATTTGAAATATCTACTTTTGGCCTTTTTCAAATGAAAACATGGATTGCAGCTGAACACTTCTGAAAAAACCCCACTCTAAAATAATTACTTACATAGCACCGTATGGTTTTCAACATCAAAAACTACTCTTTTACTGCTCAGTGACTTGGCATGCAAGAACCTTCCTGTGCCTTCACAATAAGTTTCAGTATCAACAATAATGAGTAAAGTTCTGAATTCTCAAGTGCTTTCCCACGTGCTTGCTGTTTCACCTAAATCTCTCAGGCTTCAGATGCATCACCTTCCCCTCTCAAAATTGTGTTTTCTTTTCCTCACAATGTCTTATTTATTATGTTTCCATAAATTCTGTTCTTGGTTACAAACCCTTTTTAAAACAGAACGAGACAAACAACTGATCTCCAAAACAAACAAACATTCCCCTCAAAAAATAAACTACCAAAAGAACACAAACACACAGAGCGAAATCCACATACCAATGTAGATAAAAGCAAGCACCTGACAATATAACTAAGATGACATAAAGCCATCAGAATAAAGCTCATCTTTTGGGCATCACAAAATTTAAGCTCTGCTTAAATTAATCATTTTTTTCAATTACTTATGTCTTAATCTTTGAGGTATTTTTATTCTGACTTAAATAAATATTTTATGAAATTATTATTAGGTATGGTCTCCAACAATGAGATTGGAGAAGGAAACTGGAGAAGTAAACTACAGAAGGAAACAGAAAAACTAACTCCATATGAAATATTATAAAATGCAACAAGGTGAGCAAGTATTTATATTTTATTCACATCCATGAGTTCCTGCTACTTTGGCAACCGCACAGGAATAAATATTTTTATAACAATATCACATCACAAAAATTAAAGAAATTACACATTATCTGGGATATCTCAGAATAAATTAATGCCATATCTGATTTTAAAGACGTTAATAAGCTTTAAACAATTTCAGCTACAAGTGTGAGCACACTTAGCTCTCCGAAGAAGTTAAATATTTTACTTTTTTGAGATGTATATTTACCCCATTAATGAATCATTGATTAGGCTAATCTAGCCCACTGCAATTTGCCGAGGGACACATCTAACAGGTATTGCAACTCAGCCAGACCCATGATCCAGAGCTACTCCTGACTTGCAGATGACCCCAGAAAAATGCATCACTCCAATCACTATGTTCAATCATGAAAAAGGAAAAGTAATTAACAAGTTTCGCAGCTTCTGTAAAGTATACAAATTATATGCATTATACCTAAGAATGAAACTTGTCATGCACCTTTTTGAAGAGCTGCATCAAGCAAATCTCAGCAAGTTGCCTTTGCTAAAGGAATCCAGGCAATAAAATGGTGCATGATATGAAAGACAGAAATCAAAGGAAAAGAACCCTGACATTTAGAATCAACAAGGTATCTTGTGAAATGGTCCAATTTTCCTCTATTGCTAATATATGCTATGAGGTATTAAGAAACACTGTATTCCTTAATGGAAAAAAAATTAAAAGTAGATTTGTGTGATAATGCCACAATTTGGAACAAAGTAACAAGAGGGCAAGTGTGGCAATCGACCATAATGCACTGTTGTGTCAAGCTTAGACACAATTACCTAACTTGGGTAATTTCTAAGTCTAAATACTTAGAAACAAGTAATTTAAGTAGATCAACACAAACATTCTTCAGCTTTCCAATATTCAGAACACATTGCTTGCATAATGGAAAAGGCTAAAACTCCTAAGTTCTTAAGTCTTACATTACCAATTGCAATTAAAAAACAGGGCACATATCACAGGCAGCCAAAATTCTGATTTGTGCTCAGAAGCCTTTCTTTGTACAACTTTGTACAACATGAACTTTCTGTTTCTTTATAGGGTAATGAGGCAGCAAAACGTGTATCAAGAAAGATTACATGTAACCATTCATCCCAGCATTTCCTTCATACTAAAAAAACTAACTCCACAGCTGAGAGGAAGTTTCTCTAACAATTAAAGCTTCTATAAAGATTTAACAGAACTGAACTTTGCCATATATTGTGATATTAACCAAATTCTATTGTAAACATACTTCTCCATCAGAATTAAAACTAGTAGTATTTAAGGGATTTTATTTTTATTTTATTTAAGGAATATTACTTTTTATTATATGAAGAGATAATTTTTTTCATCTGCAGGGAAACTAATCGTAGCTAAAAATTATCTTTATATTATGGATTTTAACAACTTCTAATACAGAAATGCAGACCTTTCATAAACTACACAGAGATGCACAGACATATATATCCTGTTACAGTGTCCTGCCTTGCTTCTTCAGGCAAAAGTGCATTTTTAAATGCCTCTGAACAAACACAAAGCAGCAAATGACAATACAGGCTCGAACATTAAACACTATTAAAAAATCTGTCCCTTGAAACAGAGTTCATACTGCAATCACATCTCACACACACACCTGGATCACATATTAGCAGAGAAGTAGTTCACCTGAAAGGAGACAAAGAAAAAAAAGACAAAAAAGACTCCTCCAATAAAATCTGCAAAATCCTTTCCCAAAAAAACTTCATTTAAGTCTTGAATTTGCTGTAGAACAGTAAATCTTTAAGTTATAACTGAGTTTACTGGAATGGCACATCTGAGCATAGGCATCTAGTAATTTTTCAATATTTATCTGATTATAGTTCAGAATAATACAAAGGGAGACTTTTTTTAATTCACCTAAAAAGCAACCTTTAAAGCTACTTAAATCGTCAGCTGAATATTAAAAAAAAATACTTAAAACATATTTGTGCTTTTTATTTGGATGAAACCATAAAAAAAGGATATCTACTCAAGAATGCAAAAAGAAGGTTTAGATTTGTTTTAAATGCCAAGTAATGAGAGATCGGGAATTAGATAATTTAACTCTTTTCAAAACTATTCAATCTAAGTAGAGAAACTTATTTTTTGCCCAGCTTTGTTTTACAGGACTAGAAGTGCTGCACAAGAAAGTAAACACATTCTGACAAAAATTCTTAAAGGCAGACTGCAGGAAGACCTACCTTTTTAAAAACTTTTCCCGATGGCTGGATTTCGTCTTCCTCTTTCAGGATTTCACGTGTTCCCAAGAGTTTTTTGTCCTTAAATTTAGCCTTCGCATATTTAAAAACTTTGTCAAGTGTATCACACCCAGGATATAAAACTGAAGCTAAGCAATGTAGGCTGTTAACAGATCTGTAAGCACCCCCAGCCTTGTTATTCACAGGTCTGGCTTTAACCTGCTTGGCTTTTTCTATAGCCTGCTTTGATCCCGAAAGTATGTACCATGGAATGTATGTTACAAGGGTGTACATCAAAATTATAAAGTTTATCAACTGTAAAAGAACAGGGTTGATGTTATGCTTCAACTTCATTTTGGTTGCTTGTGAAGGTTCCAAGAAAGAGTTTGGAAACATGAATCAACTACACAGGGATCCAAAGAGATCTGAAAAGAGAAAAGAAAAGGTAAGTGGTAAACTATCACCATTGGCAAGGGGGTTATTTTCGAACATAATATTACAATCCATATCCCAGTAGGTCTTTTTATGCAGAAATTATGCTACAAGTCTTAATCCATAATACAAATGAAACAAGACATTGATACACGAGGAAAAACTTTTCCATTCCCATTTAGCAGACTGTAATAGAATGACATGTGAATGGGATACATTTCTCCGAAAATGTTATGTGATTATACAGTTTAAAAGACTCTCTCCAACCACATCAGCATACCTACATGTGTATTTTCATTAGCCATCTTTACATGACTGTAAATCAGCCTCCAAACAAGCCCTAAGAACACAAGCAATGCCACTGCTCTCTGCACATGGGAACCCCAACCACTGAGGATGTGATTAGACACACTGGGACACATAAGAGAAGGAAGGCCCTGTATGTGACAGAACTTTGCTGGTTCTTTTATTCCTAGAGACTTCCAATCGGTCCCATGACTTCAGTCTCAGAACCAGTAGGCAATGGGCACACTTGTTATATCAATAAGCATGACAATGAGTTAACTTATATTTGGTAAATACTGGAAAATACCTTAGAAATAGCCCCAAATTCCTAAACACCAGCACTATGAAGAGACGTGTAACTTTTCACAGGGTCCCTAATGATGCCAGGATATTCACTTTGACTTTTTTAAAAGCATCATTTATCATATCCAATGACCACAGTGATGATACTACTTTCTAATGTACTCTACTGTTGAGTCAAGAAATGGTGCCATCTATCTAAAAGATTAAAAAAACCCAAATCAACAAAACCATTTAAAACCTTATGGAAAACCGGGACACTTGCCAAAATGGCTGAGGATGAATTTATGCAGCAGAGAATGAGACACCAGTTATTAAAATCAGTGTTTTGCACATAAAACAAAATGAACTGCAAATGCATTTCACTCAGGTAACTTTTCAAGGGTATGGATAGAACTTATTAATACCATAAATCAAGCAGCTAATAATGATATATACATAAGATGCAGAGCTTTTGATAATACTAAATTAAGCAAACTTTCATTTGTAAGATATATTATTCTTTGCTGATGTCTTACGCTCATTGACTCTTTGCCCACTAACTCTCCAAAAACCCTAAAGAAAAGAAATTTGAGTTGAAGAAGTAATGTGTAAGTCATGTAAGATCCTTCAGTAGTAATGAAAAGAAACCTTGCTTCACTAGTCTTAGATCTGTAGGTCCTTTTGGGAACAGATCAACCCAACACCCTTCCTTTGTAGCATGAGATTAATTCCACCTTTCCCTAAAATATACAATTTCTTAAAACTCCAAGCAAAAATATTTCACCATCTTCTTCCCTAACAAGCTGCTGTAACCTCATCGTTAACATTGCCTCATTACAGGCAGTTTGAAGGAGAGCAGAGCACCCACAGATGCACACCCAAACCATAGGAGCTCTTCACAGTAGGGACTTACTGCAACAAGCAGCAGGGGGGAAAAAGGGATTTAAAAAAAAAAGGAAGTGTATGTATTTTAATTTTCAGATCAAAGGCAAAAAGCAATGACAAATTAAAAAAAACAAACTTAAATAGGCTAAAGGGCAAACTCAGTAATCATTTGAATAGACTTATGTTCTTAGTCGGTCACCGAAGGATACTTAAGGAAAATAATCATGAGCCAGCCAATAAGCTACTGCTACCCAGAAAAACTGTGCTGTTGTTGATAGCAACATAGAACAAGATGTTTTAAAGCTAATCCAAAGTTCACACAGCAAAAGTTTACCCATTTTTCAAAAACTGTATGTTGCCCTATAATTTTGTCTGGCCCAGTTCAGAAGGGGTACATCTTTTTTCTCCTTATAAAGCTGGAGAATTCTCTGCCTACAAAGCAGAAAGAGAATATAACCAAACACTGTTATAAACAAAAACCTAAAGCAACTCATTTAATACCTTTAGGAAAACTTTTCTTCAAAGAAATTCCTTGTCTGACAGTCAAGCCTGCCTAAAAATATTCTAAGTTTCGTATCTTTCCTTGGTTAGAGAGACACTGAGCCCTTCTGGAATAGCAGCCTGTCATTTGATTTTGCAGTTATTTTAACAGCTTTATTCTTGCCTCAGAAGGAGAGAGGAACCTTTTTCACCATTTCTAAAATAACCACATCAAGGTCTCATGTCAAGCTCTTTCTTCTGGCTTACCCAAGGCCTTGCATATAACCCCCAAACCTGGAAATGTTGGCTTTGAATTGCAAACATAAATTGTGCTAGGCCCACCTGTTCATAAAAGGTTGCATTGCAAGAAAGGGTCTAAGGAACACTACAACAGGACAGACTTGAGGGAAATGTTTTGAAATGTCACCCTGGCTCAGAAAAGTAAGCACCCAGTTCTAGAACTCCGCTCTTATGTACATCTTTTACCCTGAGTAAATTGCTAATTATTTCAGCTCCTCCTTCAGAAAAGTGAGGCTATCACAAGTCATTTATTGCAAACAATTTCTTTTAAAAATTAACACTCGCAAAAGTTTTTTCATTTAAAAATGCAGGTTTTTTGAGATTAAAAACTATCTTTTGCACATGCAGTTTCTTGCCTTAAAGGCCACGTAAGACTCCATTTTTCTTCCTTCAAAGTCTTATAATTAGGAGATAGCAACCTTTAGCAAGAGAGCACTCCCGTGCCAGTATTGACAATTTGGCAATGGATTTCAGACTATGATATTTGCAGAGCATCTACACTTGTAACTAATTGTAATTACTGTTGTAACTGGAAGTTGGAAAAGTGCAGTCCCTCTCTGAACAAGCAAGAAAAATATAATAGTCTCATCAGAAGGATAAGCTCCAGTATCTTTGTAGGGTGATTGTTCTAAGGAGAGCTGAGCCATGACACAAAGGAAGTTCCTTGGTGGCAATGAAAAGGGTCCACCTCTTTCCTTGTATAACTGAAGAACAGAAGATGCATTTTAATTCATCATTTTGTTTATTTGTTTGATATGTTGTTAAACAGAAAAATACCAGGTAAGAAAAAGAGATCAGTTTAAAATACCTTCATCCCCAACAGATTTATCATTGCCATTCCCAGTAGAAGAACACTGAAGTCAGCTAAATGGATCACTAAGCATGCAATAAAAAATTCATTTTGATGACAACAGAGAAGTAAAACTCCACCCTAATGTGAGACTGGAGTTCTAGCTGTAAGACAATTATATTTTACTGCAAGCAAAACCAATGCAGTTGAACTTGACAGTGGTTTGTTTTCATTTGGTTTGGGTTTTTTTAAATAAAAGGTCATTTAATCTCAAGAAAACCCTCCATTTTTAATGACAATTTAAAAGAAAAAGATTATTTCCATTAAGATATAGAGAAAAATGCAAAAGCAAACAATTGTAACAACTGCTATTTCAAACCTTTACTGTATGGTATTCTAAAAACTCAAAATGAAAATACATTATAAATAATCAATTTGCAGAACTAACATGAAAATTAAAAGTTTTGGTAAATTTTCAGGGGTTTATCAAATTTTAAAGGCTTAAAAGAGATGCACTGTTGACTGTTTAACATTCCGCCTTTAAAAAAACCACCATCAAACAACAACAACAACAAAAACCTCTGAAAGGTTTAGTGAAATACTATACAGGGCTTTGCAATTTCATTTAAGTACAATTTGTTGTCACCTTATTAATTTTGGAAGTATATGCCTGCTTTTGACCATAAAAAGAGGGTAAGTAAACCCAACATTTTCAGCCAGGGAATGGAAAGCAGAGGACATGAGCCTAAGCAGTTTTTGCAAGTATTAAGACTATGACCCAGTAAGAAAGTCCACTGCCTTTACAGTGCATAAGTTTTGTTCTTAGGTAGCTCCTGCTGACAAATAAAATCACTGACAAATAAAAATACCTGAGGTGGTAATATTCTAACTAAGTGGTTCAGTCTGCAGATTAGCTGTAAACACTCAGGTGCTTACAGAACATGCATCCATCCTGGTTTCACACAGTCCTGCTGGGGTTTTTGAAAAACCAGCGCTCAAACTAGTGACGCAGGAAAAGTTGGGAGGTTGAATCCTGGAGGGAAGAGCTGCTAACTTATGCAAGAATACAACCTATAGAAAAACTGTGCAAGCAAATGATTCCACAATAGCTGTCTGGTTACATGGAACTCTGTTTCACGAAGCTGTCACCAAACGGGAAAGAGCAAGACTACAAGTTAAAAAAATGTACACACTTTTTTCAAGAGCAAATTGAGAAGCAGCAATCAGCACACTCATGAATGAGTCTGGAGAAGTAAACCAGCTCTTTTCAGGACTGATCCTGCTTAATACATAATCAGTGATTTGGCCTGATATACTACTTATACTAATACTGTTATACCCTTTAGTTTTAGAAGCAAACTTATGTTAGATGAGAAAAAAAAATCCTTAAAGGAATGTGTTTACTAATTGGTCTGCTTATAACAATTACACTACAATAAAAGCATGAATTAACAATAAAAAGAAACCTTATGCAACTTCTCATGGTGGCAGGTACAGGTACAACAGGCGATACAAGATGTTCCCGTCTCAGTTTACTCAACAGGAGCTGTCACAGGCAACTGCACGAAATCTAAAAATGGAAAATCCCCATTAAATATGGCAATTATAAAACATATCCTCCATTCTTTCACTTTTATTATGTAATAAATAAAGCCTTTTCCTCATCTGATACTGCACTGTATCACCTCGGAGAGTGTAGGCCTACTACCTCCAAGTTAAGTAAAGCTAACTTTAACACAACCATGGCTCAGACTCAAGTCCTGTACAATCAGGGTGGTTGGAAGCACATTAGTTAAACTCAGTAGCTCATGGTACTTGCCTCCCTGACAAATTCTAATTCCCCAGTGGCTTTCAGTGTACACTGGTTCTACCATTAGGGGTAAAAAAAAAAACCAAACAAACGTACCTATCTTTGTTTATCTGTCTACACAGAGAACACATTTCAGCCTGAGTAACAAATATTCCTGAACACTTTATAAAAAGACTAAATAAAGTACTAATCATTGCATTTATTGACTATGCTCTACTATACAAAGTTTTATTTATTGCCCTTTGCAGAAGGAAGTCTTGACCTGTGCCAGCAATTCACATTTAAAATATGCAGCAAATGTAAACATTTTGTAACTATTACCTTTGTGCAAACATTATTATTTACACAGCTATTCAGTTCATACAGATATAATATTTTCCAGTTTCAGTGGATGTACTACTTGCTGCTTGAGGTGAACACCAATGCGTTCAGTGCCTCATTCGACTTCCTTGATTTCACACATACTAATTAAACAAAACCAAGCCTATGCTTCACAAACAAATTCCCTGGACTAAGAAGCAAGGTAGAGCCTGAGGTGATGAACGGTGCACAGAAGAATCCTAAACATGAACCCATCTAAGCAGAAGATCTCTTTTGCAATATGGATTTAAGACACAGTTATATCTGAAAACAGATGTTCCTCACAGCTACAGCAGAAGTGTCTTCACACATTCCTTGAAACTGAGAGGATGGAAATCCCAACAAGCCCAACTGAATAGTGGAAATGGATGCCTTGGATCCCTGGAGAGGAGCTGCTGCTCAGCACATCTTCCCGAATTGGAAGCGACAGCAGAGTGAGCACAAGGACACACCTCAGCTCCCTAATTAACCCCCCATTGCTTCCTCAAGCCTCTCCCACCACCTCCTGTATCCCCAGAGAGCTGCTGCCCTGGACTGCTCACAGGACCCAGTTCCCTCCAGGCCATCCTGGCAGTCCCCTCTCTTACATGTCCTGTGGGTTCCACACAAGCACACACACTGTCCTTGTTCCCTGCTTGCTGATTTTTCAGCCTCCCTGTCTCTCCATGTCACCCTTTTCCAGGCTGCTGCCTGGGTCTCGGTATCACTTCTAGCACAAGGGAGACCTTCCACATGCTTCTCAAACATCCACAAAACCCTTCACCAGGCAGACTTGAAACCCTGTTATAAAACAGACTGCCTCTCCGGAGTCAAGTTGGGAACAGATCCATGGCTCTGTCCCAAAGGACATCTGCTTTCAACAGGGTGCTCAGCAAAGCAGTGCTCACAATACCAAGTACTCACTGGAAACAAACCCAGTGGGACCTTCCTTGACAGCTCCACATCACCACACAGGGCTTGTCTGTAGCCTCTGCTACAGAAAGATCTAGAACACGATTGCATGGCTGTAACAGACTGACCCACACTCAAAGGGTTTTTTGACACTTTTTCAAGCAGGCAGACACAAAAAAATTATTCCCATATCAACTCCAGCCCCTGATTTCCCACTCCCAGTCCTGAACAAGAAATAACCTGTCTCTCCCTGGACTCTGCCCTCCCTGCTCTACATGCACACTGTGAACTGCTGTTAGCTTACACACATTTGGTGGGAGACCAAAATTACTACTGATTACATGATTACTCTTCTCTCAAAAGGAGGCAGATCTTCTGGACATGGGGAGAATAACTACTCTCTGCAAGCATATCTAGGGTAATTCTGAGCTACCTTATTCAGATCACCTGTAGCCTCCAGCTCTGACCCATCTCTTTCACAACCCTGGGTGAATTCTCAGGCTCTTTAAAAGCTTCCCATTACCCTTCTGTGGAACACAAACAGGCACTGGCAGATTGCTGGAGCCACCTCAGCACTTCTGCTCCCACAACGCGCCCCCCAAAAGGCATCAGCATAACCAAATCCACAACTTAACTCTCTTCTGTGCACGAGTGTGTTTCTGAAAAGCACAAGAAGGCACACACAGACCATCAGGAAAGGGACAGCATGACCTGGAACGAGCCAGTTTTCAAGGTAAGAGTTTAGCAAACCGCTGGGGCAGCAAAGGTTGGCCACGAACTGCACAGCCTGAGGGTGTGATTTCAGTTTGGCTCAAGCAGGTTTAACTGGGCTGCTAATAAAAACAGACTGTTCATCTCTAAAGTGTAATTCAGCTCTTTCCCTCCATTGTACCAACACACAAGTGCCTATGTGGCTAGGAATGAGTCAGATTAGCTTGCTGATCCAGTTTAAACCCTCCTTCTCAGGGCAGAACAGTGGATTTTCCTTTGTATCAACACTGGTACTTACTCGAGCCTAGGGTGAGTCACTCCAGCCACCTAAATCAACAGAAAATTAGCACTACAAAAGAAGTTATTCTTCTGTTATCTCAAACTGAGTAACCATGAATAGGAGTTAATGCCAAAGCAAAACTGGAGGAGGAGAGGGAAGGAGACTGGCAACCGTACTGCAAATCAAACCGCAGAAGACCAGAGATCAACACAGACCGACAGCAGAACACCTTGTGACTCGTCAGCAGTGCACTGTGGGATCAGAGAAGAGCTGTGGACTGGAGGATTAACTTGATGCTCTCCCTACTAATGATCTCTCTACTTACTTTTTCTGGAGCTCACCGTTGGGAGTTGCAACTGGTACAAACCTAAATACCTTTAAATTCTGGATGTAGGCTAATAAACATTCCTATAAAGACAGACGGGTTGAATTTATGTTCTTCACATGTCAATGTTTGTAAAATGATACTCCTATTTCCTTAGGAGGCAGCCAGAAGGCATGCTGTTAGGATAAAATTGTTATGTAATTGTTAAACACCAAGATACTATAACAGAAGGAATAACATGAACCAAACAAGTCCTTTACCCTAAAGAGATACTTTCTACTCTTTTAGCTAAATTTTGAGACAAAAAGTTTTATTATCTAGGAAAGAGTTTTTTTTCCTCTTAGTAGGCTCATTTACTTTGGGGGGGGAAATCACACCTAGTGGTGGCAGACAACAGGGAGGCAAATGTGGTAACAAAGAACTAAAGTAGGCTGAAGGAGCTGACATTTCTTGAAGGCAAAGACCTGCACTTTCTCTCAAATGGATCCTTTGTATATCCAGTTATTTTTAAAAAGGTAATGGTAAGTGGGTGTTAAAAACTATTTGACATCAATCTCTTCTACATACTTCCAACCCCTTCTGTATGAAATATCACTACATGGTGCAGGACAGCAAGAGGCTCAGGTTTGTACATCTATCCTCTGGTTTCTAACAAAACAAAGACAGTAATATTTCTGAGAACCTAAAAGCTAAAGTGAAATCACAAAGCAGACAAACAGCTTTATTTTTCAAAAAAAAAAACCCTACAGGACCTTCAATGCACAGTCTGACTGCACAGGCTACAAATTTAAGTTTAAACCTTTGTTACAGGTGAAAAATAAAACTAAATCAAAATGAGTTCAGCACTGATGAGCTTCAGGAGCAACACTTAAAACAGGCACTTCTAAAGTTACCTTCACCCACAACACAAATACCCATTCAATAAAATCAACTGAAAATGAAAACTGCATTGCAATCCTGCATCTTAGATTTTTTCTATTCAAAACATTTAAAAACTTATTTTCCTTAAGTAATTTTTTTACCTTATACAAGACAGTTGAAATATTTAATGGATTGACAAGTACATCTTCTATTAATAAGAACAATAAAAGACAGCTCTAAGGTAATAACTGTTGTCAGCAAACCTGAAAGCACTTCCCAAGATTAAAACAGTGTGCTAAAAACATTTACTCAAAGTCATGGAACAAAGTAATGGCTATGCCAGAACACCGTCCTGTGCTGCTACATCTTTTATCTCCTTCTCCTCCCACTACATACAACTGCTTCATGCAAACAAGTGTCTTGCTTGTTTCAGACACTTTATCAGATACTGTCAATATGCTGCTTCCACTCCTTTTTATAAGAAGGTCTCAGAGCACATAAGAGATGTATTCAATGCCAAACTAAATTCAATGTTTTCACTTTTGGGTCAGAGAAACAAAGAAATTAATGGATAAAGTACCTCACTACTGGAGAAGACCTCAGAGGAACTTTGGTATCTACAAATCAACTGACAGAGAGAGAAAATCCCACCAATTTCCCTGGCATACTGCTAGATTTTTAAACCACAGATACAAATTATACTTAAATAAGGACACTAATACCACTGTATATACAGTATGAAAAAAAATCTGCATAAAAATAAGCCAGAAGCTTCACCCTTATTCCCAGCCTTTGGCTACTGAAGAAGGGGAGTAACTGCCTACTTATCACTGCCAGTTTATCACTCCCCAAATTCCTACAATCACTTTCCACTCCTTTAAGTCAATCCTCCTAAGTACTTCCACTGGGAGGCAGACTCTGCTTTCCATCTGAATCAAGAGACTGGCCAGAATGGTTTATATGCTATTTTCTACTACAAAACAGCCTAAGATCACTTCTCCAATTTCTGGGAAATCTGAAATGCTAAGGCATAAACAATTCTGGTTTGTTTGTTTCTTAGAAAAGAAAACAAAAATAGATATTCTGATGCCATACATTCAGTGTGGTTTGTGCTGTATCCTAGTCATGTATTTGTCAGATCAGAACAAAAATATCTAACGCAACACAACAACACCACAAATGTTTAGCAGTGAGGCTGCTTCTGGTTTTTTTTTCTCCAGCAGAAGCTATACATGCATAAGAGTGTTCTTATTTAGATCGAGTTCATATGCAGTGTCACAGTAAAAATTACCCATTACCTTGTATTCATCTTTTAAAAAATACCAGGTGGTCA